CAATGCCCTCCTCGCTGGTCTCCCATCCACAACCATCCATAAAATCCAAATCATTCAAAACTCTGCAGCCCACATTCTCACCCGCACGAAACTCCGTTCCCCGATCACCCCAGTCCTTGCCAGACTGCACTGGCTGCCTGTCCCAGAGAGGATCGATTTCAAGATCCTCACCCTTGTATTCAGGTCCCTGCACCCCTCTGCACCCCCTACCTCTCTGACCTCATCTCTCCTCAGAACAAGTACCCGTTGCCTTCGTTCCTCCGGGTCTGGCCTCCTCCTCATCCCCCGAGTCCTCCGCTCCACCCTCGGCGGCTGTGCCTTCAGCCGCTATGCCCTGAGGCTCTGGAACTGCCTTTCTCACTCCTTTTGCCTCGCTCCCTCCCTTCCCATTTTCAGGTCTCTGCTGAAGTCCTTTCTTTTCGACCGCGCCTTTGGTCACCTTCCTCCCCCTCCCCCTGGCTCGGCCCCGGGATCCGTTACTGTGAAGCGCTCTGAGACGCTGTCCGGCATGGAGGGCGCTATATAAATCCAACTTGTTGTTGATTTAACCTAGGCTGCCAGTCCAATGAAGTGCTGGGGTGTGCTGCATTGTTGAGGAACTGTCCTTTAGATGAGACTTTAAAACCATGTCCCACCTGCCCTTTCAGGTGGATGTTAAAGATTCTATGGTACTATTTAAAAAGAGAAGCCAGTTTTTTACATTGTTGAGATCTACAATCCCCCGGATAATCATTCACTTCATGGCTGTTTGAGGGAAATTGCTGTGTATAAAATGGCTGTCGGATTTGCCAACAAAATACACAGTAACTACATTTCACACTGAAATCCTGTGAAGCACTTTGAAATGTCTCAACAACGTGATAAGATGCTACATCAGTGTAAGGATTATTATTATTATTTGGTATCATTAGTAAATTTAGAGGTCAAGGCAATTTGAAGACCATTTCCTTCTGTAAAGTTCCAGCTGATGTCAGTGTAGATTATGTCAAGTTGTATTTCTTCTACTCAAAGGTAAACCACATGAATTCAGAACCAGTCAATCAATCTCATGCTACAGTATACAACAACAACAACAGCAACATCTTGCACTTATATAACGCCCTCCATGCAGGGTAACGTCTCAGAGCACTTAACAGTGGCGGAGCCTGAATCTGAGCTGGGGTGGGGGGGTGGGGGGGTGGTGTGACCGTAAGCACAGTCGAAAAGGAAGGTTTTCAGGCAGGACTTGAAAAAGGGGAGAGAGGGGCAAGGCGGAGGGATCGAGGGAGAGTGTTTCAGAGTTTCAGGCGTGGAGGCTGAAAGTGCTACATCCGATGGTGGGGTGGAGGGTGTGAGGGATGAGCAGGAGGCCGGTGTCAGTTGAGCGGAGGCGCCGGGTGATGGATTTTGGAGTGAGGATTTCGGAGAGGTAGGGGTGTGTGCCAGGGAGTGAATGGATTTGTACACATGTGAAGAACTTGAAGTCAATCCATTCGGTTATGGGGAGCCAGTAGAGCCTGGTCAGTACTGGTGAGATGTGGGTACGGACTTTGGTCCAGGTTAGTATGTGGGCAGCAGAGTTCTGAATGAGCTGGATCTTTTGAATAGTGGAGCTGGGGAGACCAGTGAGGAGTGCGTTTAAATAATCCAAGCAGGAGGTGACAAACGCATGCACGAGGGTTTTGGCTGCATTTAGGTAAGGTACTGTCGGAGGGTACCGTAAGATGCTGTTCCTGCTAAAATTATCTGGTCTAAGTCAAATTGGAGCTATTTAGAAATTAATCCAAATTTGGGATTACTTCAAGTTTGGAAGTAATTTCGTTCCTTGTTTGCTAGCATCTCCATGGACACTGTTAATGCTGCAGTCAGCCAATGTGGTTTTTGAAACTAACCCAGCCAAGTACCCCTTTCTCCACCGCAAGGTTCAGCTGTGACTGCCAAACCTTGTTTAGAAGGGAAACAAAGGTCATCTGAAGGATTTCAAACTAGGTTGCAGATCTGTGAATACCAAAAGCAGAGATTTTAATACATTTAAAAGAATTCTGCCAGGAATCAACGCTTGGCTGGAATATATTCTTATTTTTATATGCTGCAGGTTTTGTTTGAATCAGGTTACATTCAACCGAGGGATCTCAATAAATACACTGCACCCTGAAAGGTAATTATAACACAGCTCATATTTAGGGGGACACTGTTACAATGCTCTTTAGTATAGTGCATTGTTCTATATTAATAGTTATATTTGGTAAGTGAATAGCTCACAATAATAGATAAGGGTAAGTAGCTAACATTCTGATAACTTTGCCCCAGATCCCATTACCCCTTTAAATAACTTTTGAATGGCAAACTAGCAGAATTAAATATTAACAGAAATTCAAACCTAGAAATAGGTACTGTGCAAGGACAAAGAAAGAAACTATTACAATCTTAAATGGTGTGTTTGTTCTGATTCGGTGCCATTAAACAGTAACCCTGTCTCCGTCATGTTATTTCCCACATTATCCTCTGATCCAACACCAAAGAGCTACATACAGGAAAGTAAAATTAATCTTTATAACAGCGACAAATAACTTTTGTGCGAGCTTCAAGCCAAAGTTGACAGTTAGATGAATGAACATACCATACTGTCAGTTTGGCGGCTTTCATGATTTATGAAAAAATATTATTTCTCTTCTGAAATTATTGATCATTTTTTCGGTTACCCAACTTTGCATTTGCCACCATGGGAGAGATAGAAGTTTCTGTGAACTCAGCTTATTTCACCACTGGAGGTCAGTCATGTCACTGGGACATTAGAAGCGCATAACTACATTAGAACAATAACCACTCGCCTTTATATAGCACGGTAGTGTCTCGGAATGCTTGTATTGAGTGTGCCTCACACCTTAGAGGGCAAAAAGCTGCAAATATGTGAAAGAATGTAACATATATGTGAACTAATCTTTAACTTTCAGCTCATTTCGGTCCCGAAAGCATAGCAAATAACCACAGCTATTGGGAATATTTTGTTAGTGTTCAGTATTATGGTTTATAACTGGAATTGCAACATTAAAGTGCAAGAGACTGCTTAATTTTATCAGCACTTCCTTGGCTCTGGCTTCAAATCAATATAGTGATAGATCACACACTGTGGTTCTATGCCCCACTGCATGTTTTATATTTCATTAAACAACCTTTTTGCAACAGGTCAGAAATGAGTAGGCTGAACTAAACCAGTCTCCAAACCAGACTGAACTTGGCATTTTGAATTGAATAATTGGAAACTTTCCAGACCTTACATTGTTCAAGGCTAACATGTCCTCAGAAGTAATAGAGCCGGTGGAATGAAAAGTCAGAGGATGAGAATATAAAATCCAAAAATTAGTATTATAAATCAGAGAAAATTTAAGTTTAGACAAATCAATATGTCACAATATTTTTTTTAAATGTTTAAAAAGTTTAAAATCAGCTGTTCTGTCTTGCTAAACCTCCATGTTTAACATTAGAAAAATCAGCAAAAATTCAGTCAATCATGAGTGGTTATGACCAAGCCATATTACTCCTGGGTCAGCAAAGCTGTGCCCTATGGGAATCAGGCAGAGTTTTCGATTTCCTGCTGTGAATAATTACATTAGTCTGTCTGAATCCTCTGAGCTTTGAGTGTGCAGACCTGAGCTACCGGGCTGTGTCCTGACCTCTATATCACCAACTCAATACCACTGAATGAATTTCAGTATTCTATTTAACATTACAAATTAATGCAGTATAATGACATCACCAATATGATGATTGATAGATAAACGAGTAAGGAATGTGGGTCTAAATTTTAGTCATTTCTTAATAATCTTTGCATTTGATTTTGTCCCTATTATGTGGAGAGGATGTCTCAAAGTTCTTCACAGGATATACTGTAAAGTATAGTGACTGCGCATAACTGGTGGCTGGAACAGGTTAGCAGGAAGCAAGTTGAGGCCAGGATGTTTGACTCATTCAAAGAACAGCTTGTTGTTGTCATGGGAGCTTGGTAGGATATATATTCTGGAAAGAAGAGATCAAATCAGCCGAATTAGAATTTTTCATCTGAACCTATCTTGTCATTTAGCTAATTCCCTCATTAATTTGTTAACTACGGTCTTCCGTTATCACCTCTCAAATATGAATCCTTGTGGGAACACTTCTGCTGATGTATGAACCCCAGGTGACTGGATTCTTCATAAATATTTTCTTTTTGTAGCGACACATTGAAATTGCAATTGAGCTTGGCGTTGGAATGAATCGGTGAAAAATAAAGGGTTAAATTATTCCAAAACAATTCAGTGTGTTTAAAAAAAACATTCAGTGGCTTCTTGGAAGAGCTTATGTTGATTTTCCTATATAATTGCCAGTAGCTTTCTGCATCACTGACATTTCTTTCAGATTCCATGGTTAACATGTTCATGCCTGAGCAATCCTGTGCAGTTCTCGCTCACTCGCTGCTGTGCTGCCTGAGGCTGCTGGGATGGGAAAGTCTCTTGGTAAAAATAAATAATTTGCTCCTATATTGATGTAGCTGTGAGTCATTGTGGGCTGTCACTGGGTCCGGAGCCTCATACACTGCACAGCACCTACAGAACAAATGCCAGGCAGCTTTAATTGACTCGTGTAGGACACAGTTTCATCTCTGACAACAGTGTCCATGCATTCAGGAATCCAGTTCTGGTAATGGCATAGACATCAGAGGAAAGAGTGTTTCGATTAATTTGAACAGTGAGCTGACCTTAATGCGGCGTTTAACATTTAGAAATTCCGTGAAATCTTTTGGACGCTCCATCTTACTTTGCATATTCCCAAGCTTGAAGACTGACAGGTGGAAAAATGGTTGAACAGCAACTGCAGCATTGCTTGCCTCTTCTGCTACCTTTTTGTGCTTCAGTGATTTGAATTATGAAATCCGATCCAATGAGCGATTTGTGATTTAATGTTTGACTGATGCATGTTTCCAATATTGTGTTCTCGCCTGGTTTTGCCTGCCTGTCCTCTAACCTTCGGCAGTTGCACAGTGATTGCTATAAGAAGGGGCAGATGGACAAAGGTCTTATTATAATAGGGTGAGTACAGGATACAAGTAAGTGATTCTGGCATCCTTGTGTTAGGCCTACAAAGGCACTATGTTATACTTCTCACAGTATATCCTGTGAAGGGCTTTCAGACATCCACCTGATGTGAATGGCGCAAACATCAAATGTAAGGATTGTTTTAAAAGGGTCTGGATACAGTATGAATATTTAAATGTTACAGACTGTCCATATACCCGTTCTCCTCACCGATTTAGTATTAGGTGCAAAATGTGATGCTTACTAACAGGTTTGATGTGATAACAAATCTGCAATGAAATGTAACGTTTTTGAATATTGGTGTGAGCTGCTTTTAATGAACAGAATATTAGCTATAAGTCCCAAAGTATGACTTGTTGAAATTCATGCAGGGGCTGCTAGACACTGAGTGCTTGATCTGTCGATTTCTCCTTGTTGCCCCTGTGCAATGGTCCGAGTATCAGGCATGAAGGGTCATCTTTTATCACCCTGTATTACCACCCTCCTCTGTCTTGCACTAAAATCCCAATAATAAAAGATTGACAATTGTTTTATCGATTTGAACATGAGTTTGTTTCTTCAAATAGAAACCTTATTCTGCTCGTGTTTATTCTGCCAAATTGATCTAATTTCTTAGATGTTCCTTAAAAATGACTCTGTATTAAATGTGGACTCCTTCCAGAACCTGGTGTCAACCTGGCTCAGTTGTTAGCACTTGTGCATCTGAGAAAGAAGGTTGTTATTCATAACCCACTTTGGGACTTTGGACTCACAGTCAAGGTTGACACTCCAATGCAGGACTGGGAGTGTGCTGCATTATTGGAGGTACTGTCCTTCAGATGATACGTTAAACCAATGCCCCATCTGCCTATTCATTTGGACAGATCCCATGGCACTAATCGAAAAGAGAAGGGAATTTCTCCTGGTGTCCTGGACAACAACCCTCAGAAAAAATTGGTTATTCAAATCATGGCAGTTTGCTGGGCATACAAATACATAATCACATAATCACTACTTCACAGTAAAATTCTGCAAAGCTCTTTGTGGCATCTCAAAGGCGCTATACCAAATACAAGGATTATTATTATTATAAGTAACTCATGCTAACCTGTGAGAAATTTGTTCTGATGTGATATACTTCCGGGGAAGAGTTCCCATGAGTTGGAATATGCAATGTTTGCAATAATTACCAAACAATAATTTTTCTGCAGGCAAAATAGTACATGATGAGTGGTGTACAATATTTTTCAAACATTTACCTCAGGTAAAAATTCATTCCATTGATATGATTTAATTTATCAATGAGCACATAATGGTGGAAAATGACAAAACAATCAAAATAATAATAAAATAATTTAAAAAGAACCATTCTAATAATAGTATAAATGCGTTTGAATGGTGTTTTATTACATTGTCCATTGTGTATTTATATGCAAAGATGGCAGCCAGCTTGTGCACAGCAGTGTCTTACATACAGCCTTGTTTATTTAAGAGACATCATAAATCTTCACACTACTCCTGAGGGATTTTCCTTGAGATGCACCAATTACATTTTTTAATCCAGGATCTTTTTGTGAACGTTTTCTATTGCACACATGACCTATAATATGTTTACTATGATATCTTATTTATAATTGATATATGCAAATATTCATCTATGCTTCTTTCATTTACATTTTCAATGACATGCTGATTCATTTTATTATTAACTACAGGGAAGTATTGCTCAACTTGTAAAAAGTAAAAGTATGCATATAATTGGGCTGAATTTGATATAGCATCTAAGACCTCAAAGTATTTTAAAAAGCTTAATTGATATTTGTAATCCTTCTTGTCCTTTATTTCACTGAATATCCAGATCTTTCTTGTCTGAAAGTTCAATCGCCCTGAGCTTCCCAGGAGTGTTCGCTCACAAAATACATACAGCTACATCGCTTTAAAGTATAGTCTGTGAAGTGCTTTGAAACTTGACAAGGTAATAAGATGCTATATCAAATGCAATCATTATTATTATAACTTATTTACTCCTAGATATGCCTCACAAGTTATAGTTATACGTGATCCTTTAGTAAAAGCATGGCAATTTGTTATCTTTCAAACATTGGAGCAGAATGAGTTGACAGTGGAATAGCTGGGGATATTTGCATGTTTCCTTCCTTTTGCTATTTGAACCCACAACATTCTGCCTCAGGCGAGAGTGCTACCAAATGAGCCATGTTGATAACAATTGCAGTGCCATATCTGTAGCTCTGACAGGGAGATTGCGCACAGATTGTGAATTGAACCTAGAAATATCTCGGTCTGTAGAGAATAGATACTTACAGATTAAACCCAGTGGCTCTTTGTCTTACTCCAGGAGCCTCCAGGATTTCACTGATCCCAGTCCTGTCTCTCAGGGAAATATCTGAGACTCAAATTTGCATATCCATCCATTGTATAAATAGATTCTTGTTATGTCCTGGACATAGTCACAACTAAATGTGGGTAGGAATGTTTCTGATCCCTAGGATTTGTTGTATAATACATATATGTCCAGCACACTAATGTATTCGAGTCCCTGTTGGATAGGAAAGACTATATAAAAATAATAATAATAATAATATTAATAATTCTTTCATTTGGTATAGCACCTTATCATGCCGGAATGACTTCTCAAAGGTCTTCACAGGATTTGCTGTGAAATGAAGTGACTGTGTATGTGTAGACAAATGCGGCAGCCAGTTTGCGCATTGCAATGTCCTACAAACAGTCATGACACAAGTGACAAATTTTATTTGGGAGACTGTCAGGCAGCACACTGGTATTTGGGCAAGTGTCAGGGCTGACTCTGCCTGCTGCTGAGCTGGGCTTGCTCACGTTGGGATACTGCCACATGGAGAATGAGTGAGTGAGGGAGGAGTGAGGGAAGGTGAGGCTACGTACCTGAGGATCGTTCCCATCTGCAGCGAGATGGTGCTGCTCCTGGAGGGACTGGCTGAGGGATTTCTGTTATTGCAGAGTGCACTGCAGAGCCCCTAGTCTGTTCTTCCACTCTCTCTGAGACAGAATGAAGAAGATATAAAATATAGAGTGAAATAAAGAGTGGGAACATATGACAATGAAGTTGCCCAGCTCAAGAAGTTAATAACTTTGGAATTTTTTGCAGCATCAAGTCAAGAATTAATCTGTAAAGCAGCCTTTGACTTACCAATGTCACTTCTAATTTCCAACAGAAAGGGCTTGTCAAAAGGAACAGGAGGCCATCACCACTTCCCTGCGAAATCAGAAGATTCCCTTCCAGCCAATTTTACCAAAAATGTTCAAGGAGCAATTCAGAGTTACAACAGGTAAAGTGTTTTGATGATTTATTGCGACAGGAATTAAGTAGAAAGGATGCTGTGATGAATGATTAATGTGCATGGGTATTAGGTGGACGGTGAGATGAAACCAAGTGTAATTGGTGTATTTGCACTCACTGGTTCTGTTAGATGCCATTGTGTGCAGAAGGTCATGAATTCATTTATTCCCAATACTCTTCTGAGCACCTCACACTGTGGACCACTGCATGTGATTTGCCTGTGAATTTTCCATGGGCCTTGCAGGAAATACTGGAGTCTATAACATATTGACTGGTTAACAAAAACAAAATAGGGTAAATTATGTGACCTACTCTTCACCAGTGCATTCTAAAGCTTTTGCATTGAGATGGATGGGAAAGTGGGGGGGTGGGGGGTATGAGTCTTCTTAGTTACATCTGGGGATAAATCAATTCAGTGTATGTGCTTAATTGCACCATCAATGTTAATTAGCACATATTGCAAGTTTCAGCCCCTTGGGGGAGAAATGTCACCTAGGTCCAAACTTGTGCTATTTTCTTAGCATGCTAAGCTTAGGAGGATTGTATAGAATCTTAGAATGTGTAGAATTTGGCAAATTTAGTCTTAATTTTGAAGGCCTTTTTGTGCATTTCTTAATAAAAACCGACATAAAACTGGATTTGAAGTTAAGATGGAATTTAATAATTTGCCAGACTCTGCAAACTCTGAAATGCTAAAAAACGAACAACAACTTGGATTTAAATAGCACCCATCATCTGGGGTGGTGTCTCAGATAACTGATCCAGAATAAGATTAATTCACAGTGACGTACAAATTGGCTACGGCATTTGCCAACAAAATGCACAATCACTGCACGTTACAGTATATCATGTGAAGCACCTTGGGATGCTCTTCAAGTGTAAGGATGAGTATTATTATTATTCTCCCCTAAGGGTTCCAGTTATTTTATTGCAATATAAATGAATGAATTAACAAACCGTCAAATGGAAATCATGTTTCTTTCTGTTTTCTTTCCCAGTGAATCCACTGTATTTGATACGTCCAGTGGGCAGACCACACCAACAGATCTTAATAACTCTTGGTCTGCAATCCAAAGTTACACCACTAGCCTCTCCACGGAGTGCAGCTCAGTCTACTCCTGGCGAGATGATGTGAGTATTAGATTGTAACAGAAGAGGAGATTTTTCATTTTTCAACTTTTTTCATTTTTCCAACATTTTTCATATAAAAGATAACAAAATAATATATAGTTTGACAGGAATGTCACCAGGTGATGAAGGAAAAACATTGTGTGTTACGTGATAATTATTATTGGTGATCATCATCACATCAATCCTCCTCTTTTTCTTTCCCCTCCACTTGATGTATTTGTGAGTCTGTTGAAACTTAGGAGGTTATTAAAATTGCTATTTAACATTGGCGGTTTGATGGCAGCTAAAGCTTTATCTGAGAATAGATATTGGTGTTGTATGATTATAGATTACAGCTACTGCAATTTTCTCTTTGCTTTGGATAAAAAGGATACACTTAATAATGAGATTTATCAAGAAGATATCAACAGCTGTCTTTAACCTTTGTGTTTAATCCAGCACAGATGACTTTAACCTTTGTGTTTCATCTTAATTCCTGGTCCTCTATTAACTTGGAACAGGCCAGTGAAATCCATATCGATCTCAATTGGCTCAACTAGGAAAAATCAAAATGAGTTTAATTAATTAAATTCTTGAAGTGACTGATTGTGAATGGATTCAGGACAAAAATGGTTAGGATCATAAAAGAGGTTTGATGAAGAAAGGATTTTGGTCAATTTGATCTCATCCTTCCAAAGTGCTAACCATACCAGATTCCCATTACAGAGTAAATCTGTTTCTTAAATCAGTCCTAGGCTCTACTAGCTTTGCTGGTAACCAATTCCAAGCTCTTTGTTTTCTGTGAATGAAACACGTTTTTCCTAAACTTTCCCTTCACAATTTTAAACCTCAGATTTTGTCTCCTGTTGCCATGGCATATCTGAAAGAACAAATCCTTTTCTTCAGAGACATAACTAAGAGTTAACATGCTTGTGATTTTTGTCTTGTAGGAGTTTGATAAGGTAAACACCCGCACGGTAGATCAGTTGTTCTGGGAAATCGATGAGATGCTGTTTGAGGGAAAGGTGAGCTCTCGTACCCAAAGTCTTCAGACTGAATGCAGAGAATGGACTAAACTTTCACCCCAACTTAGGTGAGAACTACTTCTAGAATCTGTTTTAAAATTATGGCTGTCCAGGTGGCAGCTAATGGTATTTTAATCTGAAACTATTGGGCAAGAACAAAACTTTTATGTGGTGCTGGGAGACATATTTCCATTGCCTCACATGCTGTACTGGCTCAGTAAAAAAAAGTGAATGTGAGTCTGATTCACCTTCCAATTTGTTATTGCAGCATCTACAAGGAATAACATTACCCAAGAAAAATATTATGATTTCAGGGCAACTGCAGAAATAGAAAATCTAGAATATGTACATATAATACAAAAAATGGTAAAATATAGCAGTATATTGCAATGTCATTTACATTGTGGAAAATTCACAGAACCATAGGATTATACAGCACACAAGGAGGCCAATCGGCCCATCGTGTCTGTGCCGGCTCTGTGCTGGCTCTTTGGAAAGGGCTATCCAAATCAATCCCACTCCCCCACTCTTTCCTCACAGCCCTGCAAACTTGTCTTCCCCAAATAATTATCTACTTCTCTCTTAAAACAACAATAATAAATTAAAAACAATAATAAATTAAAAAACAATAATAAATAATTATCTACTTCTCTCTTAAAAAAACAAAAACAATAATAAATTGGTCATTTTCAATCCACGACTGTTTGTGAGACACTGCTGTGCGCAATTGGCTGCTGCTTTTTGCCCACAAATATAGTCAATTCACTTTATAGCATATTCTGTGAAGCGCTTTGAGACGTCTGGAAGACGTGAAAAGCGCTATATCAAATGCAAGGATTATTATTATTATTTATTAATAAGCTTAGATATTCACAGCTGTGCATATTATTCATGAAATTTACTGCAAAGTCTGATAGCAAACAGTATATAACAATATTTTGATGACCGTTCTTCATAGATGTGTGTAGTTCAATGGTATGCTGAGGTGCTGTTGATAACAGATAGCTCGCCTTTATCAATTGCAGGGGTTGGAGGGGCAGACAAGTCACTGGGAGCAGGGATTCTTTCTACTTAGCTCCTGTTAGCCTTGCAAGTCAAAGCCCTAACTGAATGGTCCTAACTGGACATGCCCAGAGTATCCACAATGGGAATGTCTATGCGGTTTTAGCTGGTTAAACTCCTGCAGTATCCAAACACCCTAATTTGCCAAATTCTGGAGACTCTAAAATAACAATAATAATCCTTACATTTTATATAGAACCATTCAAATTAGGTGGAAGTCTCAAAGTGCTTCTCATGATATACTGTAATGATTGTGCATTTTGTAAGCAAAATGCGACATGAATAGAGTAAATCTAGATCCTGATGGAATTTCGTCCATTTGTTCTGTGAACATTGTTATAATTGTTATTGGCTAATCTGGATTTTTCATCCTTTTTGTATCCGGTGCAGGATTATAGGAACACAGCTTTTGTTGCCGAAAGATGAAGGTTTTCAGCATTTTCAGAGCAGAGGAAACAGTTCCATGGTAACTAGGCCATTGCTGAGTTTCTGTGACAGCAGCAGCGATATGAAAGAGTAAGCCCTAATTTTATCAATCAATCACACAGACCTGTAATGATTGCTAACTTTTGCATGGACATTGACCAAGGGACCTCAATGAGATGGGGCAAGGTACACTCTAGTCATTCTCTTTTCTTTTTGTAGACAGCTATGTCCCAATGCATGTTAAGTGTGCATGTTAATCCTTGTGGTGTGTAAGATGTACCCAAACAGTTCTGCTTTTTGATTCTGAGCTCCTGGGAATGCAGTATGTCCTCTGGCCCATTTGGGAAGTTTAGGACCAAGCAGTGAGGTAAAGCCTGTGGTAAACTGGGAGAGCAGGTGCGGGGAGGGTGAATCATAGAATCAATTAAATTTACAGCACGGAAGAAAGCCACTAGACACACTATGTCTTTTAAGATGGGTGAGTTCTGGCTTTCACTGACTTGTTACTGAATATCATGGAGTCAGAATTGTCTGCACAGTAATCAAGTCTATTTACTCCCGTAAATAAAACGTAAGCCCTCACGTGAGGACCTGGATTAAGCAGCTGGTGCTGACTATGTCTGGAGCACGCCGTTGAGTTTGGACCTCTAGATCATCAAGGTGACTAACATGTCACAAGCTGGCCTGAAAAGTTCCTCCCATCACTCTGAAGGCAGATGCCCACCAGGTAGCTGATGAGGAAACTCTAAGGCTGGGGCAATAGCTGCTGGAAGGTGTTACCTGGAGTCCAAGTTTGTGAACAGACATTCACATACCTCGTCTTGGAATCCACCTTGACTTGTAAGAGAGTTAAGCAGCCGTTGCTCAAATGCTACATCTCCACCTGATGGAACGATTGCTTAGTGGGTAGGGTTGTGTCCGAGCTGTGGGCAGGAAGATGGTGGCAATGCGCTGACACATTTCATGTTGAGCTGTGCTGCTCACCAAGAAGTTTGCAGGTACCTGACACCTGCTATCCCAGTCACCGGCTCAAACCTGCACTTGTTGGATGTCAAATGACGAACTAGTGCCTATCCTCCTTTGGTGGGAGTTAAGCAGGGTCTCCTTAGAGCTGAGCTGGTTCCAGGGTGACATGTCTGACAATGGAATGTAGAAATCGAGTCAACACTCGGTGACAGTCTCGGTCATCTGGTTCCTGAGCCATGTGAGTTCAGATTATTCCAGGACATTGTTGATGACAGACTAGCCAGCCTCGCTCATTGGCAGGTTTAGGGTGGGCAGACCAGTCACTTGGAGCAGGGATTCTTCCCATTCAGCTCCTGGTAACCCTTCTAGCCATAGGCCTATTGGATAGAGTGTTCCTAGCTGGACAAGCAGTGGAGATCTTGTCAGATAGTACTTTCATAACAAGCTAATTAGTTTTACCTAGTTAAACTCCAGCATTACCCCAACACATACTCCAGGGTCCCCAAACCTTGGCCCTTGCCAACTTCGCCTCTCCAGAATTAGATAAGAAAGATGCATCCCTCCTGAGCCAGAGTGCGCATTCTATTCCAGATACATGGTAATTCCATGTGCTGCTGACATACATATATTGAATTCTGTCTGGTTCGGGTACTCTTAAGCATGGTGATGGGTTTCCTCACTGCCAGCCAATCGGCTGATCAAAAAGAATGGTATGAAAGACGCCTGCAGTGTCTTGTGACATCTTCCTCATTTTTATAACCATGGCAATTTTATGTTGCCTTAAATTGAAGTCATGCACTCATTTATGTAATTCCAAATGATTATAAAAAATAGATTTAGTCACAGTTTCTTACATTTCCTTATTCAGAATCGAAAGAATGCAAGATCGGATAGCCGGCACAGGCATTTTTCTAATGCTTGGAAATTAACAAAGATTTGATAACTTTCCTTGTGGAAGTTATTAACCTCAAACACACTGTGTGTCTTCTTTTCTCAGGCTCTGCCTCTCAGGCCACCGTTTGGTTCCCACCCATTCTCCCTTTCACAGTGGATCAGAGTCAGACTCCACTGTCAGTTCACTCCATTCAAACTCATCTGACTTCTCATTCCTGGAGGAGGAAATCTATGACATGGATGGAAAAATTGAAGAATATTTTGCATATGACAGCAAAGAATGGTGTGTGCAGCAACCTTCACCTATCATTTTTTTTAGGCCACTCTCTGGCAAAAAATTCACCTTTGCGACAGCCTAAAGATATGACATCCCGATCAGAGCTTAGAGAATGCTATAGAAAATGCGGACTTTACTCTTCTTTGCCAGATGGTGACCTAAAATATTTTAACATAAATATTTATAAAAAAATAATTATAATAAACTTTGGTGACCAGCATTCAAATAAATGATTGTCATTATGTTAAAATCTAAGATGACTCCTAATCAGTTCTACAAGGGCTGGAAGGGGAAGCTATTCTCTGAGGAGGGGGGGAGTGGGGGTGAGGGGAGAGGTGGTGATGTGGGATTGGCAGAGATGAAGGTTGTAGGGATCATTATTCAGTCCTAAACCTATCATTTAGCACAGGTTGCTAGGGGAACTATACAACTACATATTCTGTCCAAAAGGGCACAGGATATATGTTCTGGCTAAAAAGAAATGTGATTTAATTGTTGAAGAAACAGAGCCAGAGGAGAAATTATGCCAAGGTCTAGATTTACTCTCTTTTTGTAACAGAGTTTGGCATATTGATGAATTCAGCTTTAAAATAAAAACTCATCAACAACAACAAAATCACATTTTATAGCGCCTTTTATGTTGGAAGAACATCACAAGGCGCTGGACAGTTAAGGGTTTCCACCTGAGCTGGGGGTTGGAATCAAGAGAGGTGGAGGATAGGTGAGGTAGGAGGGTGGCAGAGAGAGATGAGCCTTGAAGGAGACAAAGGAGGGGGCAAGGTGGAGAGATTCCAGGATGAAATTCCAGAGGATGGGGGCAGAAAAGCTAAGGCCTGACCGTCAATGGTAGGGTGGGCAGGGCGGGATACATGTAGCAGGCCAGTGCCTACTGAGCGGAGGAGCAGAGTTGATGGCAAGTTGATGTGGTGTTAGTAAGTCGTAGAGGTACGGAGGATCAAGACTGCGGAGGGCTTTAAAAGTGGAGATGAGGATTCTAAAGTTACAAAGACATATATTTGAAGAGGTTCATCTTATATATTAGTAATAATAATAAACCTTGCATTTGAGCTACTGCCTTGCTGTTGTTGAAACATTTCAAAGCGTACAGTGAATATGTATTTTGTAGGCAAATGTATCATATGTCATTCTAACTGGTGGAATAACAGTAGGACGTTCAGTTGCCAATAGTTTCCGTTTGATTGCTGCAGCATAACTGGCACAATTACAGAAAGTAAAAGAAATGGATTGTTGTTTGGATTGTTTTTTCTGTCTGATACCAAATAATATGCTTCTTCTAGTGGCCAGGTTGAGAACTGACTAAAGCCACTGAGTTCAAGCAGGTAGATTGAAGCAAATGCTGTACAACAGCAGCTTGCATTTATATAGTATCTTTCACGTGGGGCAGGGTCCTGGAGAGCTTAACACAGATGTTTATCATGGAAGATAACCGATTGCAGTGGTTCTGCTACTCAGCTCCATTTAATTCATTTATTTTTGCAGTTAAGTTTACATTAGGATAGTTTTATAATCAAATGGGATATTTAAAAGCAAGGCAGACAGATACTTGGGATCTAATGGTATTAAGAGATATGGAAAAAGGTGGAGAAATATTATAAAAATATCTACCATGATCCAATATACTGGCGGATCAGGCTCGATGGTCCGAATGGCCTTCTCCTGTTCCTACGTTCCTATCAATATCAGTAGCATATGCGAACAATTCTAACTTGTTGATCTGTAAAGTGAAATACACTGCACTGTAGCTCATGTTTATCTTGTTCTGCTTCATCCACAATATTAGTGATGATGAGAGCTTGGAACAAAAGAAAGTTCAGCTAGCTCAGAGGAGAAATAAACGAGGCATTCCCCCCGTTTCGCCCAACGACTGCATTAAGGATGCTGTATCTGCAGAGATATTTGACAACATCTGGCGGGATGTGATTGAGATGTTGGAGGAGCTGATCAGGAAACACTGGGAGACTACTTTTTCAGGTACTGGATATCATAGATTCAAAAATGTTCGGGCTGACATTGACTCAGGTCAGCTTGTAGTGAATTACTCTTTGCAAATTGACAGAACAAAGCAGTTTGTTTCAAGGCTAACAATATATCAGGCTGCAGATAATTTAGTTTAGTTACATTTCAGATATGAGTGGGAACAAACTATTCATTTTACAGAAAATATCTTATTTTATCTTTGAACATTGTAATGTAGGGGAGTGACCATCACAACATTTGTGTATTAGGAATTCTACATAATAATAATAATCCTTGCTTTTGATATAATCTCAGTGTTGAGACTCATAGTGCTTCACAGAATATACTGTAAAGCGAATTAACTGTATATTTTGTGGGAGAAACCATGGATGGAGCAGTGGTGCTTTTCTGGGCTTTGTTTTTTTGCTTATAAATACCTGATATTTCCTTGTTTTTTAAAAAAAATACCTGGGTAAAGTAACAATTATTTATTAAATAAAAGATTGGCAATCTGCTTTTTATAATAATGAAAGTTAAAAAAATTGGAATAATTTTATAATAATAAAACAAATCTTGACAATCCACCTTATTTTTTTATAGAGAATGGAAATTACTTTCAATTTTGTTCAATAAAATAAGTAAAAAAAATATAACAAATATCCTTGCATTCGATACTGCACTTTATCACATCATCGAGGTGTCTCAAAGTAGTTCACCGGATTTTACTGTGAAGTGACTGACTGTATTTGTTATTAAATGCGGCAGCCAATTTGCACAAAGTAATGTCCTAAAACAGCTATGAAGTAAATGACTAATTTTATGTGCTGGATTGTTGGCCAGCACACCGGGAGATCCATTCACATATCCAAGACGGAGGTGGATAGGCATCTGTTAGGTCAGGGTGTTAATGGATATGGGGCAAGGGCAGGTAACTGGACTTGAGGTACATGATCTTGTTAAATGGTGGAACAGGCTTGAGGGACTGAACAGCCTACTCCTGTTTCTGTTTTTATGTTCTTATAACTCCCTTCTCTTTTCAAATATTGCCGTGGAATCTTTAACTACCATTTGAACAGACAGATAGGATCTTGGTTAAACATCTGGTTTAAAGGACAACACCTCCATTTGAAGCAGTGTATTGGAGTGTCAGCCTGGACTGTGTCAATTTTAAAGTCCTGATGTAGATCTTGAACCCAATGCCTTCTGACTCAGAGGCGAGAGTGCTACCAACTAAGCCAGGCTTATACCAGGTTGACACCACTAATATTTACTTTACAGAAATAAAAAATAAAGCATACACATAGCCTCTACTGTCAGTATATTATGAACTGTGCTTCCTCTTCCTGCATAGCATCTGTACAGTTCTTCATGGCGGTGTCCCAAAGTCCTGACTCCATAAAAGTGGGTCTTGTGTGTGAAGTGCCGTGGTCGACCACTGGGTTTTCTCAGTTTCGGTTTGACGATTTCAGACATTTTATTAAAAAAAACTATACCAATATAACATACTTTTATGTCTCTATATTTCGTATCTGGTTATAGATGAAGATAAGCAGATAGTGAATATGCAGCACGTAACATTGAGCAAACTTCCTCGAGTCAGTACTGTGACAAACAGTAGTGTTCCACCATCTAGAGGATCTGAGACACGGAGCCTGGCTCTTGGTGCTTCCTTCATCCACTCTCAGGTATGATCCACAATGTGTGTTTATTTGTAGTGTGATACTTTCGCTAATACAACATGATAATTTCATTTGAATTGTAAAGATAATGCGGCTTTTAATTGAAATGGTGGAATTCACCTTAGTAAATTCCTCTATATTCGTGCAAGATTTATTCCTGGTGAAATTCCCATATCTATTGCCATGTCCTGTTTTCTATTACCGAACCTCTCCGCTCAGCTGGCTCCAGCATCCTGCACATCCCTTGTCCCCTCTGCTCCACCATCGCACATTATATCCCAAACCGCGGAACTCTCTTCCTTAATGCCTCCGCCTTAATAATAATAATCTTTGCATTTGATATAGCACTTTTCATGTCTTCTAGACGCCTCAAAGCGCTTCACAGAATATACTGTAAAGTGAATTAACTGTATATTTGTGGGCGAAACGCGGCAGCCAATTGCGCACAGCAGTGTCCCACAAATAGTCGTGGATTGAAAATGACCAATTTATTATTGTTTTGTTTTGGAGGGATTATTATTAGGCGTGTGGAGTAAGGAAACTTGCCCAAGGTTTTGCCCTGCCTGGAATTGAACCCAGGTGTCTCGCTTGCAAGGCGAGTGCTCTAACCACTGAGCCACAGGACTCCACCTTCCCCATCTTGCCTACTCTTTCCCCATCTTCAGATCACTTCCTCTTAAACCATGTCTACGGTCACCTCCCCTCACCCCCCAGCTCAATGCCAAGCTTTGCCAATGTTACATGCTCCGAGATGCCACCCTGCACAAAGGGTGCTATATAAAGGCAAGTTGTTGTTGTTGCCACTAACCGAATAAAACTAGGTGCAGCGAATGAATGAGCCTGGCTTACCAATGGAACTGGTGGAACTGGATGGTCTGGGAGAAAATTTCGGTTCAGTGCTGAGCAGAGTTGTCTTGCAGGAAAGTTGGGTTTCAGAGCTGATTTACATACACAGCATACTGTAGATTGACAAGGAAATCAGTCATCAAATGAGCCTATTCAACCAATTACTGTCTTAGTTTTGAGTCTTTTTAAGACAGACTAAAATAACACTGAGAGGGGAGCACTTTTCTTGTTTTGACTGCATATTATTACATGACTCTCGCATTACGCATTACCAAGCTCTTGTGCATTTTTTGATTACGCCTTCTAGGCTCATCGTATGGCAATCAGTTACCGCAGTAACTTACATGGTGTTATGACAATTCAAGCCAAACCACTTCAACAAAGACATGCAGGAATATTTGATAAAACCCAGTGAGTATTGTATCCTCACATGACTAATGTATACATATTCTCCCAATCCATACAAAATAACAGCCTCATGTTATGGTTTGTTCTTTTCTTTTCCATGACATATAATGTGTATTGTTCTACAGCTGAAAAACCAAACCTTTGTGAAAAACCTATGGTTTAACACTTCTTGGTCTGGGAGTTAAAAGAACAGTCCGTCTACCGCAGTACCAACTTGTAACCATAGAATCAGGGAATCATGGAATTATACAGCACAGAAGGAGGCCATTCAGCCCATCACGTCTATGCAGGCTCTTTGAAAAAAATCTATCTAAATCAATCCCACTCCCCGCTCTCTCCCCATAGCCCTGTAAACTTGTCCTCCCTAAATAGTTATTTAAGGTTCAAATGCTTTTGCCATTTATATTTCACCTCGATGATTTAAATAGTCTACATTCTTCATTTCATATAAAATATTTTTGACATAGAGTCCCAATGAAAACCAACCTAAGACTCAGCATATCTTAAAAAAAATTCTGGATCATGGAGAGTGTAGATGTCTCCCCCTTCTTTGAGTGACCAACCCCAAGAAATAGATTTTAAACAAAAAAAATCAATTTCAAGTTGCCCAACAACAGAAAAGTACATTTTTTAAAAAATGTGTTTTAAAAATTGGTTTGGGGCAGATTGGAACAGGGAAATTTCACACACATGGAGAGGAAGTTATAGAATGTGCCCTATTTAACACAAGGAATGCTTTGAACTGCTGTAATTTTTACCCCATGGAGAAAAGGTCAATTGAGATTAACCTGGCATTAAATTGCAGCAATCGGTGAAGGTTAGATGGGAACACCAGAAAATCTAAATATATTATTCTTTTGGAGTTCACAATATGGTTTGTCCCTCAGTGCTTTTCTGATAAGAATGATTATTTATAAGATCTTTGGACTTCCTCAGTTCACTTCACATCTTGTAGGACCTGAGGTTAATGATGAGAGAGAGATGTTAGACATTGCAACACTAACATTTTCATTGGCATACTCCCACATCTTGTATTCTTTGATATGTAATCTTTAAGTCTTTAGTTGGATGCAGATTCTGGCAATAACCAAAGATTCACAAGCATTAAAGGGAATAACACCCAGACTTATTCATTTAGCCTGGTTCATTTGATGTAACTTTATAACCAGTTTCACATTATTTAAGAGTCACTCCACACATTCTCTTTCTTCATGTAAATTATAGTTTGGGAGAAAACATTTCTTATTTCTACTAAAATTAGTCTCCATGGGAGCCAACCATTCCATTGTGATACTTACAAATTGCTTTTTTTTAAACCTGAAGGTGTGACCAGGATGATAAGCAGCTCAGTACGGGCTCCACTATTTTATCTACAATAAGAAATCGTCTAGGACGTGGGACAGATCACAGTACTTTTTCATCACCCCGCATCTTACAGCTATCTGCAAGGAGACCAGCTACACAACGTAAGCTGCCAGCACTCGGTTCCGAGCTGTTAAGGTCAAAAAACACCAATGTCTACAGCGATGAGATTCTCAGGGGAACAAAACTGTGAGTTACATTAAGTTTCAGAAGTCCATGTGTGATCACACAGAGAATAGATTTGAGTGATCAGGGGGTAATGATTTAAACAAGGAGTTCAGTTGACATCATATTCAGCCATTGAACTGTGAACCTTTTCCTGTAGGTGGTTATATTGTTAAAAAATATTGTTTGTTTCATTCTATAGTGGGGTCTTATTCCATTTGTGTCACCATTGATTTCATAATTATAATCCTTGAACTTGATATAATGCCTTTCATTCAGGAGGACATTTCGAAACGTTTCACAGGATATACTGTCAAGTGCAGTGACTAACTTGGTTAGCCTTATGATCATTGTGATAAGCATTTTGTTCAACGTATTTTGTGTGCAAATGTGACAATTTGCACACAGCAACATCCCACAACAGCCATGAAGAAGTAACTAGTTTTATTTGGAGGATTGTTGGCCTATTTTTGAGTAGTAACATGGAATCTTTAAAGTCTATCTGAACAGGGAAATGAAACCTTTGTTAGCGTCTAACCCGAAACAAAAGCAGAGACTAATGTGGAGTAGTAAACACGGACACTGATTATTTGGTCGAAATGGCTTGTTTTTGTGCCCTACAATCTATGTAAATCTATGTAAATGCCAGTAAGCCAGCAAATTTCTTTCCTGTACACTGCGTAAATTTATGTTTGTCACAATCTTACATCCTGTAGCTCAGTGGTTCACTAGCCTCGCAAGCGAGAGACCTGGGTTTGATTCCCGGCAGGGCAAAACCTTGGGCAAGTTGCTTACTCCACATGCCTCTGTTTACCTAGCAATAAGTAGGAACCCAATTGTTAGTTGATTGGCGGATAACCTGTCTGGGCTTCGAAAAAAATAAGTAAATTGGACACTCAATCCACGACTGTTTGTGGGACACTCCTGTGTGCAATTGGGCTGCCATGTTTCGCCCACAAATTATACAGTCAATTAACTTTACGGTATATGCAGTTAAGCACTGCATATGTCTTGAGGACGTGATAAGGCGCTATAATAATAATAATAATCCTTGCATTTGATATAGCGCTTTTCACGTCGGGAGGACGTCCCAAAACGCTTCACAGAACACACTGTAAAGTGAATTGACTGTATATTTGTGGGCAAACGCGGCAGCCAATTGCACACAGCAATGTCCCACAAACAGTCGTAGATTGAAAATGACCAATTTATTATTGTTTTTGGTTTTGGAGGGATTATTATTAGGCGTGTGGAGTAAGGAAACCTGCCCAAGGTTTCGCACTGCCTGGAATTGAACTCAGGTCTCTCGCTTGCAAAGCGAGTGCTCTAATCACTGAGCTACAGGATTCCATGCTATGTCAAATGCAAGGATTATTATTATTATTGTTATTATTATTATTACATCCATGTCATCACCCACGGTCTACAGTATACCAAACGTCAATGTTAGTTCCGAAACAAACCAAAATGAAGTAAAAGTTCTCTGTAACCAAGAGATAACCAAAACTGAACCAAGATATTCTAAATAGTGGGTTGTTATTTAAAGCCTGTAAGTCAATCTGGAAGCTAGAAGATGTTACAACTTGCTGGAGCTCTGCTCTATGATGCCATATGAACACTCCTAACTTTCCAACAAGTACTTTCTGTAGTGGGACACCCTAACGCTTAAGACTGTGAAAATTGTTAGTCTATTAAAGTTGTTTCTAATTCTCATCCATTCAGACACACTGGCATTGATCGACTCTCCTCTCCTTCAGTACAGACTGCTCGCAATAACCAGTTACCTCCCATTAATTCAGAGCCAGCGGAAGCACACTTTTCAGGCCCTGGGTCAAGGCACCAGCTGGTAAGATAGAACAGTCTTTCTTCAAGCAGCTTCATGTGCTCTTTGGTGTTCTAAACTTAGAACTAGAAAGGTGTCAATCACACAATCTAATAAATTTAATGCTGTTAGATAATAACTCCCTGTTTTAATAACCCTTCCATTTGATATATGTTGGCAGGATCTTTATTGTAAAATGTAGTGACTGTATTTTGTAGGCAAACTCATCAGCCAATTTGCGCACTACAATTTCCAACAAACAGTCATGATGTGAAAGTTTATTTTTCTACAGAAAGTTTGTTATCTTCCCAATAACTCAGGGCTAATATTAATTCTTATATTTGAAACAGCGCCTTTCACTTTGGGAAGACCCCTCACACCTTTTTTAGTATATAGTGCAAAGTACAGTGGCTCCATACTTAATAGGTGAAATGCACTGCCTTGCATGATATTGAGCCATGTGTACAAGGAAGGTTCCAGATTTAATCATTGGTGTTTAAACTAATCTCTGCACTGGCAGCAATGGGGATACTATAGATAACCCGAGTTCCATTCGGTAAAAAATAGTTAGGGATCTCACTCGAGATCACTATGTGGTGTCCACTATGTTTTGACCAATACAAAGCACACATTAGTGGACATATGGGTGTAATACAGATCAAAGTTTGCTGTGATGTCCCCACTGTTAAATAGCCTGTCAACGTCATTTTATAGTCTCACATTTAGAATGGAAACCTGAACAAGATACTGGAAGGCTGCTGATATCCATGGAATCTATTTTCAGCATGAGTCACTGTTTACAATACAATTCATTTATATAGTGCTTTTCATGTTGTGAGAAGTCGGGAGTTTTAAGGAGAAGTGTTGGGAGTTTCAAAAAGAACAAGTGAAAATGACCATTGTTGTCAGATTGTTGAGATACAATTGCACGTAGAGGTCAAATTTGACAGAAGTTTCCAGTGAAACACTTTCATCCTCATATTACATGGGGTCAGAATCCTTTATCTGTAAGTTGTTTAAATTAATAATTGATAGTGCTCCACTAAAAATAACCCATGCACAAACCCGTATTCATACTTATGACAGAAAGGACGATTTCCACACAGCTGGGTCTCGAGTGCTTCAGGGGAAGGAGCTGGACGTCGACCTTTTAGGGAGAGACCTGTCTCCATGGATACATTTTCAAGACCAAATACAACCCACACATTTAGGGTAAGCACTGTCCTTTCTGTGTCCTGAGATCAGCTACTGGACATGATAACACCACGTGGTGTTTGCATGTTTTTTGAGGACAGCTGCATCTTGTGAAATTCCAGTTCCATTATGATATTTATTTTGAAAATGAACTATGTACATTCCTGATTTTAAAATGGGAGGACAAAGTCGTGGTTACATGTTAAGCAGGAAATCCTTATTTGATTTTTTAAAAGGTTATCTCCCCTTGTTTCCCGAGGCATTTGATCACTGGAGTTGGACTCAGTCAGAAAAGGTACATTTGCCAAAACTTGGCAGTAATCCAAGGCACTGCAGCAGATTGATTATTCTGCCTGGTTGTTTAAACGCTGCACTAGAGTGTCTGCCAAGACTCTGAGCTGGTGTGTTGAGGAGTACAGTTCCAATCTATTGCTCTACTGGGTTTGCACATTAGTTGTTTTTTCCTGGACCTTGTGCCCTCTATTCTATAAAAAGCATATTTTTCTGTTTCAATTCGATTAAAGTTTCCTCCGATTTTTCTTTTTCAGTTGCTGCTAAGCCTGCTGTTTTTATTTTATATTCTATTTATCTTATACACAAAGTAATTCTATCATATGCATCACAAATGTGTTAAGTATCTTCAATGGCAAGCTATGTTGTTTTAGCTGGTTAAACTCCAAGAGTACCCCAATGCACACTTTGGGGTTCCCAAGCCTGGTTCTGCACAACTTGTGCCTAATACTGTCTAACATTAGGTAAACAGGGTGAATTCATCCGGGGAGAGAGTGACCATTTGAAACATAGGAATTCCCATGTGTTTAACAATAACAACTCGGATTTATACAATGCCCTCCCACGCCAGACGGTGTCTCAGAGCGCTTCACAGTAATGGATCCCAGGGCCGAGCCAGGGAGAAGGGGAGGAAGGTGACCAAAGGCGCTGTTGGAAAGGTGGGGTACTTGAAACTCTCAGTCTGGTTTGGATATCCTTAAACATGGTAATGGGGACAAGTTCATAAAATTTAGAAGTCCATTATTTAGAAGTCCAGAACAACCTTCTTGAAAATATCTTTCAAAATGCTAACAGTCTCATTGATCATGAATATATTGGTAGATTTCACAGTTTGCTTCTCTAAATCAGAAATTGATGGCTGATGGCTTGGTTTTAACAGGAATGATATTTACTTTTCTCAGTCTGACACACCGTTCAAACGATCTTTCACACCAATGGACTACGCCAGCCATACACGGACAGGCCGAGGTTCCCTTACAGGTAAGCGAGTAGCAGCCTGTTGAGTTAATCCATTCCAAGTTGTGGGGTGGGGGGAAGAACCAGTAAACATTTAAGTTCTAAAGATCAGGTTTATATCAGGTATGTTAGTATTGTATTTCACATTTTTAACCTATTGGCAAAGATGTAACAAATAGCATAGGCTCAAAGTTGATTTTCACAAAATCAAAACAAAACACATTGAATGAATCTGATGTTCGGAAATTTTCCTTGCAGATCACGTTGGAATTGGCGTTACTGGCACCAGTCTGGGGATTTCTGCTTCCACTTCCAGTTACTATACAGATTCCGTACATCACTATCATCATCTATTAAAACAGTCACCTGTTGAAGGAGATGAGGAAGAGTATCAGTCAACATGGGGTACTGACACTTTTAATTGTTATCAGAGGCCCACAATTTATCATAGCTTAAAATCCATTGGTTTTAAATTTAAGATCATGGAGAATTTAGGAAAAATTTTAAATTCATACTCTATTTGAAAGCCAGTTCTTTTCAGGAACCTGTTTCCAAATTGAGACAGAATTTAAGAATTTTCCCAAATCCTGCAGGATCTTAAATTTTAAGAAATCTTTCTCATGTTCAAATCTCGCTATAGTCCTGCACCACCTTACCTCTGCACCTCCTTAAACCCCACCCACCTTGCTGCTCCCTTTGCTCAGCAAACACTGGGCTGCCCTAGGTCTATCCATCCTACTATCATCAGGCTGGCTTTCAACCATTGTGTCCCTGCTCTCTGGAAGGCCATCCCCAAATTCCTACTACTCTGCTCGTTCAAGTTACATTTCAAAATGTATCTCTTTGACCGCACTTTCAGTCATCTTTCCTCTCCCAACCCTCAGCTCATATGCTCACTCAGCATTGTTGAGATGAGGGCCTTACACCCTCCTACCTCTCCGATCTACTATCCCCCCACGTACTGCCCCTACCCTCCGTTCCTCTGACTCCGGTCTGCTCCACATCCCCCGCTCTAACCACCCTACCATCGGTGGCCGGGCCTTCAGCCTCTCAGCCACTAGGCTCTGGAACTCCATCCCCCAGTGCCTTCGCCGCCTCCTCCCTTTCCTCCTTCAAGGCCGGTCTCAAGACCTTTCTCTTCAACCGTGCCTTCAGCTCCCCTCTCGACTCTCTACCCCATCCTCGCTCCCTCCCTTCCCTCCCCTCACCCTGACCATTTCTCCTCTGCTCGGGTCCCGACCCAACTGTTCAGCGCCTTGGGACGTCCTCCCGACGTGAAAAGCGCTCTATAAATGCAATCTTGTTATTATTGTTGTTGTTGTTGTTGAGCTCTTTGAGACATCATCCTAACGTGAAAGGTGCTATGTAAATATAAATTGAATTATAATGGGATGAAGATTCCATTCTGCATAGTGCCTTTGGCGATCTGTGATGATCGTTGGGAAATCCCATTAGTGGCTGACATAGACTAAGACGATGTGCGTAAATCTAAATGGAATGTCTACCGCAATGGTCATAGGGTTAGGGTTAGGATCAATACACTTTACAGTAAAATCCTATGAAACGTTTTGAGAGTTCCTACCAATGTGAAAGAAATTACAACAGCAGCAAGCTCCCTTATGCAGGATAGCTGGAACTTTGTATCAAATGTAACGCTTATTATTATTAAGGCCTTAGAACTATGAAAATAGTCTGGTGAGTATCAAAGGAGTAAATAAATTACCCGACAAGCCTGTTTCATATTATTCAATTCATGAAAGCCGTGATTTCATTATAACTCAAATTATCATCATCATCCTTTTTCTCCCTAACTCTTCCCACCAGTTCTTGCAGAGAGACTCCTTGCTTAAATGGACCTTCACATTTATGCCCATCGATCCACTTCCAACCATAATTCTGGTATTTCACTTATTGGCACGAGGACTTCTTAAAATTTGTAGCATCAAGTAGTTCATTCACTGCCTCAGAGCATGGAAATATGATTGGTCAAGGTGCCTTGTAATTGACCTCTACTTTATAATTGGCACTTACTTACAACTTTCACTGTTTCAGCCAGTTTAGTGCTGCTGGATCTTATGATTTAAATCACAGATCTGTTACACATTTGAAAAAGCTGCTTTACCCCTGTTTTTAGACGACAGGCTGCTTCAGTTGGTAGGAGGTTGTGGTTTCAAGCCTCATTTTGGGACCTTGAATTCACATAGTCTAGGCTGACACTCCAGTGTGGTGCCTGTTCAAACGGACAATAAAGATATCCATGGCACTTCTTGAAAAGAGCAGAAGGAAGTTTCACCCGCAGTCCTGGCCAACAATCCCCCAGATAAAATTGGTCATTCACTTTATAGTTGTTTGTGGGTCATTGCTATGCACAAATTGGCCGCAGCATTTTCGTGTACATTTTGCAGTAAATTCTGTGAAGCGCTTTCGATGTAAAAGGTGCTAGAATCAAATGCAAGTTTTTTTTAAGACCTGAAGAGTATCAGCCCATGCTCTTTGGCTCTTTTTCCAAGTTGATATTAACAGAATAATTGTTAGTGTCTGATTGTTAGACTGATTGTTAGACATGTCCCCCGCCTCGCTCGCCCCACAATTGGCGGGGGGGGGGGCTTCTGCCACTCTGTCCCCACCCTCTGGAACTCCATCCTGCAGTCCCTTCATCTCACCCCCTCCCTCGCCTCCTTCAAGACCCATCTGAAGACCCTTCTTATTGATCGTGCTTTCGATCACCCTGCTTACCCCCCACTGCCCTGCACCCTCGCTGATCCCGACCCAGCTCGGGTCCGTAACTCTGTTTGTCCAGCGCCTTGGGACATCCTTCTGACATGTAAGGCGCTATACACATGTATTTTGTTGTTGTTGCTGATTGAACCTTTGATTTCTATTTGAATTTGAGATCTAAGAATTGACAATTGTGACAACTTATTTTGAACTTGGGCATTCCCATAGGCAGCTCAGATTTTCTGTATACTTACAACTACAAGATTACATTTGTATAGCACCTTTCATGTCGGGAGGATGTTTCAAGGTGCTGGGCGATCAGGGATTTGGATCCAAGCTGGGGATTGGGATCAAAAGGGGTAGAGGATTGGGGTAGGAGGGTGACCAAAGCCGTGGTTGAAGAGGAGAGTCTTGAGATGAGACTTGAAGGAGTCAAGGGAGGGATCGAGGCAAAACGAACTGTGAAATTAGAAATTACAACATTCCTAACTTCAATGCAAAACACATTTCTAACATTGGAATTATTTCACTGCACAGGTTTCCCTACGTATACCACATAAATATTTTGTTTTACAAGTGTTCGAGTAGCTTTCATTTCTGCTTGAAATTTGCCTTCGAGTCATGTCAAACTATTAATAATAATAAAATAATATAGCATTTGATATAGCACCATATCGTGTTGTCATGGCATCTCAAATCACTTCACAGGGTTTTACTATGAAGTATCGTGACGGTATTTGTAGGCAAATGTGTTAACTAATGTCCCACAAACAGCCGTGAAGTGAATGGCCAACTTTATTTGAGGGATTTAGGGACCTTGGGAGAATACCTCATGGGAATTTTGATTGGTTATCACTTTTGTGTAAATATTGTAAGTCTTCAAAATATTTCACTTGAAAAAGTTACAACTTTGTTTCAAACTGACAGAATGTTCAACATTTTTTTGAATGTGTTTTATTATTCCACTTTAGATTCTCTTAAGAACGGTGATGGGTGGCCGTAGCCCACATGTGTCTGAGATCCTGCTGATTAAATATAATTATGTTATTCTTCACCCATTCCAAAACCCATGATTGTCCAGTGCCCTGGGAATTATTTCCGACATGTAGGGCACTATACAAGTGTAATTTGTTGTTGTTGATGACTGACTAAATCTTCTTTTCAATGAACTGGCAAAAAAGTAGTACCTACAAATGCAACTCTCTTTTGATGTTGATCATTGTTTGCTTAAATTGCTGTTCCCATGTTTAGGTCCACAAGTTCATTTACAGCCCAAGACATTTCATCGACTTCCTACAAGTTCCAAAAAGAGATCTCAGGTAGTTTCATAAGTGCAACAAGTCCGCTGATTGGAGAATGGGATACAATTTAAACATGATGGGTGCAAAGGGAAAAGTCTAATGAAAAGAAAACCTGCAGTGAAAATTCAACTGGGCTTGAAAGATACATGTGCTGAGGAAGCTTTCTTCCTGTTGTGCTCCACAAAATAGTGAAGCATTACAGCCATCAACAAATCAAACAGTGACTCTTAGCTGTCTTCCTACTATTTCATATAACAAGATGTGATGAACTATGCAATAAACAATGGATCAGCCAACAAGGACATTTTTCAAAACTGCAGAAAATAAATCACTCTTGCATGAGTATTCAAAAGAGATTCAATAGCACAAAACTATGAGTAACTGCTGTTTTTTTATATCTTTCAAACTGCTCATGTTGATACCTCAATACAGTTCTGACAGGCAGCTACCCAAGGTCAAAGGTACATTAATTTACAAACTACACAGCATTAGCGGATCAAATCTTTATTGCACCAGCTTTATTTCCTTGCAATTCAATCTGAGCGAGATGAAGGGAACAAACCCAATTTACATCTTCAGGACAGAGATTCACCTAATTCCTCTTCAGACTAACACAATTTCAGTTGTAGTCTGTCAACATTGGTGTGAAACTAAAGTATCTGGAGAGGTGTGGGTTCTGAATGCATTGTTTGCCATCTCTTTCTGATTACAGTAATGTCCATTGTTATTATATTATATAAATAATGTTTGTATTTTACTCTTGTTTCTTATTTATATTATTTATAATTTATTTTTAAAAAGCTGTTAATTAACATGTATTGTGCATATATGTATGTATATAAATGAATCTGTATATATAAATTTCATATTAATAGTAATCCTTGCTTTTGAAAACATATATAATAAACATATTATATGTATATTCAAATTATCTATGCTATGCAACACAGTAAAACTCACATAAGTCATGTCAGTTGAGACCAAACATTTCAATATGACATATGTGAGTTGTCATATTGTGAATGTGAGTTATGTCAAACTTGCATAAAATATAAAATCTTGAACGGGACTTGGGCAGATGTACAATTTAGGAGATTATATTATGTATACAGATCAGACTTATGTGAGTTTTACTGTAACAAGAAAATAAATCTACAACACTGACTCTCGGTGATTTTCCCTCTAATTGTTTAGATATTATTGATTTCTCATTATATCTCTCAATTATATACTTCATTTGATGCATTCATACCAGAGAAGGGAACAGAGTGGAATTAGTTGAGCCTAATACCCTGTAGCATTGTATTTAACGCTATGTAAAATGGAAATAGTTATTTAAAAAAATTATAAACCAATGCTTGTTGCAAACTTTGTTTTTAATGCAAATACATAAAACAATTTAAGTGCATTTTGCTGTGTGAATTTGCCAAACATCATTTATATATTATTCTGAATCTACTGTGTTTATTAGAAGATGCAATGTTCATTGGTCCTTATGATAAAACATATGATACCAGTTTCGAAATAGTCCATCCAAAATAATTTGATATTCAAGATGTTCTTTCTTTAATGTCTGGTGTAAATAAACTACATACTATTGATGGAAAAAAGATTTTGAATTTTACTGTGAACATTCTTAGCAGAAAAGTAGGTGCATTTAATAATATGTAAAATTAAATAACTCGATCTTTAATCAGTTTAAATGTAAAATATGTCCTATTTGGACTAAATGAGTGCAGCATTTCACTTCAATGAGAACAAGATTCCAATGCAGTTAAAGAATATGTCATATAAGAAGTGTGGCTAAAACACTCCTTTATGTTTTTGAGCTCTTGGGAACACAGTGGAGAGTTTCCTCTGATTCGTTTGTGAAGTCCAGGATCAAGTAGTCATGTGCATTTGTGGTAGAGGGAAAGCAGTTGCAGGGAGGGTGGAGTCTGTCTGACTGACCTGTTGCTGGTTTCATGGCGGGCATGTCTATTTGCCAAAGCCCTGAACATCAGAACCTGGATTAAGCAGCAGATGCTGAATAAACCTGGTACCGCAGCATTAGGCTTGAGACTTTGGACCACAGTTGTTGGAGGGTGTTACCTGGAGTCTGGGTTTGTGAATACATGCTCACATATGCAACAGCTTGGAATTCACCTTGATAGGTATTCAGAGAGGTAAGTATCTTCTGCTGAAGCTCTGCACTTCCAACTGATGGAACCATTGGTCAATCGGTAGGGATGTGTGTCTGATTTATGGGCAGGAGGATGGTGGGAATATTCTCACACATTTTATGAGCTGTGTCGTCCATCAGTACCTCCCATCCACCTAATGACACCTCAATCTACACTTGTCGGATGTCAATAATAATAATAATCCTTGCATTTTATATAGTGCCTCATCACGATTTCGAGGCACCTCAAAGCACTTCACAGAATATACTGTAAAATGAATTGACTGTATATTTTTTGGATGAAACGCAGCAGCCAATTGCACACAACACTGTCCCACAAACAGTCGTGGATTGAGTGACCAATTTATTATTTTTTTTAATATTGAAGGAATTATTATCCCTGGAAACGTGATCCACCAATCCACCAACAATTGGGGTCCAACTTACTGCTAGGTAAACAGAGGCATAAGGAAACTTGCCCAACATGTCGCCCTTCGAACCCAAGTCTCTCCCTTGCGAGGCGAGTGCTCTAACCACTGAGCTACAGGACCCCACAAATGACCAACTAGTCACTATCTTCCTTAGGGAGGAGGTAGGTGGGGTGTCCTTTGAATTGAACTGACTCCAAGGAGATTCAGCTTTGCAACATACTGCAACTTTTTATGATTGCCGCAACTTTTAGTGACTATGGTGACGAGCTGCTCCCATTGGATGATCCATCTATCCACCTATCCAACACTGACCCACACTCCCAATGGATCAAAGAACTGTCCATTTACCTGCCCTCTGCTTCCACTGGACCATCTGGCTGACCATGGACTCATCCTATACTCTCATTGGACTATTCATCAGTTGGTAGGATGGCCCATTGAGAGCACAGGGATGGTTGATGGACAGAGGGAGGGTGCAATAGAAGCACAGAGTGTGATGACGGACAGGTAGATGGTCCTATAGGAGCACACACTCACTGAAGGTACTTGAACTTGAACTGAGAGCACCAACACTACAAACTTTAACAAACTGTGGCGCAACTTTTGGAACAAGAAAAGTCACGACTTCCTTACAGCCTTAATCCATAGGTGTGATAATGCATCCTACCTCGAGAGCACATTTCATAGTGCTTCTTAGGATTCATTGCAATGTAGTGACTGTATATTTTGCAGGCAAAAGTGGCAGGCTCTTTTTATCAATGTCCCACAAATAGCCATGAAGTGAATAAACAACAACAACAAACAATAACATGGATTTGTATAGTGCGTTCACAATAGGTGACTGTCCCAAGGTGTTGGGCAGTTGAGAGTTTACAACTGAGCTGGGGGTTGAATTTGGGAAGGGATGGGACCAAGAGGGGTGGGGGTGGAAAGGTAACCAAAGGCATAGTCAAAAGAGAAAAACCTTGGAGGCGAGGGAAGGGTCATGGCAAAGGGACTCAGGGATGGACTGATTTCAGGGAATTGTTGGCCAAGACACTGAGAAACTCCCTTCTCTTTTCGAATAACATCCACCTGAACGGGCAGACAGGACCTCAGTCTCCTCAGAAGGATGGCATCTCCACTCAATGCAGAGCTCCCCAGCACTGAATTGACATGTCAGTCTATTTGGAGACTGTGAGTGTGAGCTCCTGACATGGGGTTTGAACCCACAACCTTTTCACTCCAGAGGTGAGAGTGCTGCTGTTGCAAATAAGCCAGACTGACACCAAAATGACAAGACAAAAAATAATTAATTTAGGAGACAAAATCCATTGATTATTCTTGCATAGTAATTCACAATTAACTGATACAAAAAAAACGATGTATTTGACTGTGCTGTTGTCCACTTCGCCCCATCTTTCCTACCTCCCTCTGAGCTCAGTCTTTGGTAAAGCTCTTCACATTCTCTCTATGTAAAAGTACTATATATGAATGCAAAGTGTTGTTATTATTGCTGTGTGTGTGTGGGGGGGGGAGGAAACACCGAAGAAGAAATAAAATTTGGGACAAGAAATAACCAACGTTATCCCATGCATGCAGATAGTCAACGTGTATAAGTCAATAATAATAATAATAATAATAATAATAATCCTTGCATTTGATATGGCGCTTTTCACGTCGGGAGGCCGTCCCAAAGCGCTTCACAGAACACACCGTAAAGTGAAGTGACTGTATATTTGTGGGCGCACAGCGATGTCCCGCAAACGGCCGCGGATTGAAAACGACCAACTTTGCTTCATCGCATCCGCAAAGTTGCGCCGGCGGCACCGCCTCCCCTCCCCTGGGGGGAGCCCTGAAGCCGAGTAGTGCGGGAAGTTTAACCCGAAGCGGTTTAGTTGCGAACCGGTTTCAAGGACTGGAGCTGATTGCCATAACTGGGAGAGGAGGGGACTGGGGAGGGATCACTGGCCCCGACCCCACCCTCCAGCGCTGGGTGTTGTGTGTGTATGTGTGTGTGTGTGTGTGTCGGCACTGGCCCACAAGCAGCTTTGATGGCCAGCGGTAACTGGCTGCTGGTCGGGACGTCTCTCGGCGCTGTGCTCCTCGCTCTGCTGCTCCTCATCACTCTCTACTCGGTCGGTGACTATGTGCACAAATGGCACCGACTGAAGCCGATCCCGGGAGTCAGCCCGACCTACCCCATCCTGGGCAACGCGCTGCTCTTCAAACCCAAGGGAGAGGGTAAGGGCAGCTTCACCTGCTCCAGGGGCACAGGCACCACTCACCCACTCACTCACTCACTCACTTACTCACTCACTCACTCACTCACTCACTCACACACTCACTCACTCACACACTCACTCACTCACACACTCACACACTCACTCACTCACTCACTCTCACTCACTCTCACTCACTCACTCACTCACATACCCACTCACTCACTCACACACTCACTCACTCACACACTCACTCACTCACTCACTCACTCACATATATACACACATACTCACATACGCACTCACTCACTCACTCACATACACACTCACTCACGTACACACACACACTCACTCACATATACACACCCGTACACACTCACATATACACACACGCATACACACTCACTCACATACACACACACTCACACACACACACATACATACTCACACACACATACACACACTCACTCACATATACACACTCATACACACTCACACTCATACACACATACATACACACACTCATATACATACACACTCACACACACACTCACATATACACACACACTAATACTTACACTCATACATACACTCACACACTCACTCATACACACACACACACACTCATACATACACTCACACTCATGCACACACACTCACACTCATACACACACTCACACACATTCACACTCACTCATACACACACTTACATACACACACACATTCACACACTCACTCATACACACACACACACACACACATACATACATACATACACACACACTCATACACATTCACACTTATTCACACACACATACTCTCACACTCACACTCACACAAACACAAGGACCTCACTGTACTGCAGTAGGTCAGACTCCACTTCCAAATGATACTACCTTCGTGATGGTGGTCACTTGGTTTTAAAATAGAGCATGTGTTCCTTGTTGATGTATGTCGCTTAAAATAAACATATACCAGTGGATTCAAATTGGTTTGTAAGGTTGCTCTGATGGCACATCGTGCATTATAAATCCAGTGAGTCGAGGACCCTATAAGTGGCTGAGAAATCCCCAAGTTGTGAAGTTTGCGGAGTTATCGAATCTCAGCCAGAATGAAACCAAGGCGCTACCACCAACTGCTGTAACATTCTGCAGTTTTATCTCAGTGATTTGTCATTGTGGAATAACTATTATTTTATGTACATAACGGAACGTTGTCTTTTGAGTTCCTCAGACTTCTTTCTTCAGTTGTTGGAGTCCATCGATCAGTTCAAAGATGAGCCTCTAATGAAGGTATGGCTCGGGCCACTACCATTCATTGTGTTGTTTCATGCTGAGTGTGTGGAGGTAAGATTTAGATCAAGTGTTTTGAATGTTAAATACTGCATTTATAGCAATATAATAATAATCCTTGCATTTGATATAGCACCTTTCACTTTGGGAGGACTTCCCAAAGCGCTTCACAGGATTTATGGTGAAGCGCTTTGGGATGTCCTCCCAATGTGAGGTGAACCTGGCAATTCATGTCCCATAAACATGTCTAATGAAACAAATGAACAATTTGCCAGAACACTGGGAAAAACTCCCTTCTCTTTTCGAATAGTGTCATGGGACATTAAAGGTCTACCTGAACAGGCAGACAGGACAGGTTTAATATCTAAGCAGAAGGACGCACCTCTGAGAAGACAACACCATCTCCCTGCCCCAGCACTGCATTGGAGTGTCAGCTTAGACTACGTGAGTTGCAGTCCTGATGTGGTCCTGAATCTTCTGACCCAGAAGCAAGACTGCTACCAACAACAACAACTTGCACTTATATAATGCCCTCCACCCTGGGCGGCGTCTCAGAGCACTTAACAATGGTGGAGCCCAAGGCCGAACCTGGGTGAGGGGCAAGGTGACCGGAGGCGTGATCGAAAAGGAAGGTCTTCTGGCGCGAGCTGAAGATGGGGAAGGAGGGGGCCAGGCAAAGGGTTGAGGGAGAGAGTTCCAAGGTTTTGTGGCGTAGTGGCTGGAGGCATGGCTGCCGATGGTGGAGCGGAGGATTCGGGGGACGAGTAGAGTGGAGGCAGCGGGTACTATTGTGGGGCGAGAGGAGGTTAGAGAAATAGGAGGGTGCCAAGGAATGGAGGGATTTAAACACTGGAGTGAGGATCTTGAAGTTGATTCACTCTGTGACAGGGAGCCAGTGGAGTTTGGCAAGAACTGGAGTAATCGGGGTACGAAGTTTTGTGCGGGTGAGAATCCGGGCGGCGGAGTTTTGAAAGAGCTGGATTTTGTGAATAGTGGAGGGGCGGAGACCAATGAGGAGGGATCAGCCAGCCTACATTATTATAGCACCCTTGTTGCATGAAAACTTCTCAAACAGTACTGTTATGTGCACCGATGTTTTTAATAGGCAGACTTTGCAACCCAATTGCACAAAGCAAGGCTCCACAAGCAAGGATCGGTTTGCCTGGAGGATTGCAGGCCAGGACACCAGGAGAGAAAGCCATCTCAGTACATACAGCTCTTTGAGAAGTGTAGAAAACGTGATAAGGCGCTATATCAAATGCAAGGATTATTATTACTATTATTACATCACCCTGTTCTCATTGTATTGCTGCATTCGCAGTAGCAACAATAATGCTTAATATAAGAAAACTGATGACAAATAATGAATACGGAACTCTTCTACTGAGCTTGGCATGCTTTGCTCTCATTCTTATCGACCATATCCTGGTCTTTTCAGAGTGCAGTCCAGTAGCCTAAGTAACCTGAGCAATTGTGAATATCAATTTCATATCATACTTTTTCATACTTGCGTTAATATTGAAAAAGCCAACATTTACTGAACCTACCTTGCACTTGCAGGTTGTAGAGATTAAAACACTTAAATAAAGAAAACAAAACAAGCAGGATATCTGAGATTTAGCAAATTTTTGCAGTGTTCACACTCACGAAAATAGTTTCACCCACTAAGTACACACAATCATACCACTTTGGAGCCATTTCAATTCTCCCTCTCACTCTGACCTCTCCATCCATGGTCTCCTATGCTTTTCCAATGAGCCACAGCGCAAGCTCGAGGAACAGCACCTCATTTAATTTCTTGGTACCTTACAGCCCTCTGGCCTCAATATTGATTTCAATAATTTCAGACCATAACAGCTCACCTTCCCCCTCCCCCTCTTCTGTGACCATTACCACATCATCTTGTGCCCCGACACACCTTTTCTCTCTCTGGTCTGCCTATTTTGTTGCAATTTCCCCTCCCCTTTTGTTTTGCATTATTAACACCTCTTTAACCTGTCATCCCCTGTCATCTACCTCTCCCCAATTTTCTCCTTTGTCTTCCTTGCCCTGCCTCCCCCCTCTCTGTTAGCCCTTAAAAGCCTCCCAACATGCCCCAGGTCTGATGAAGGACCGTGGACTTGAAACGTTGACTCACTTTTCTTTCTCCATAGATGCTGCCTGATCTGCTGAGTGTTCCCAGCAACTTCTGTTTTTGTTCCACTTTTGAGTATATCCTGTGATGTGCTTTGAGGTTTTGTGACAATGGGATAAAGAACTAAATCAAATACAAGGATTATTGACTTTATTTTTGGTACTCGGCGGATAAAAAGTTAAAATGTTTATCAGCTTCATAAGTGGTAATATTTGTTTTGTCTTTTGAAGCTGAGTTGACTCAACAGCTTCATCTAAATTCTTGCTCGGGGAAGATTTACTGTGAGCTCCAAATTGCTCTTTAAGTTGGATGGGGAAGTTAGTTCAGTTGCAGCTATTTAACCTGCCCGATCTAGACAGTGATGTAAGTGAACGGTAGCAATTGGGTAAAGGCTGATTATAGCTGTGGATTTGAAAAATTGGAACAGACTCTTCCATATTTTATGTTTCTTGCTTTATTAATCATATATATTATTAATCAGCCCATATCCTCTTCTCTGCCTGGTTACACGGGCTCCCTAATCCTCAGCAGATTGACTTTAGGATACTTGATATAACTTTATGATATATTTGTACAACCTTGTACCACTCTGTGATCTCCTGCGGTCAAATTCCCCTGCCCCTTCCATTCTGTCAACTGAAACCTGAAAATATCTCCCTAAAGCCTTTCACTTTGCACCCTCCCTCTCCACCTATAAACTCTTTTTCTAAATCCCTATCTGTTTGACTGCTCTTTGGTCCCCTCTCCTACTCCCCCATTTCCCAACCTGTTTGGACTCACGTGCTACCTCTTTGTGAAATACCTTGAGACATGTAACTTTGTGAAAGGGAATCTGGTTGAAATTTGTTGTTGAAGACCTTAAAAGTGCAATCAATCATTGTAGGAATTAACAGTATATTCTTATTCTTTAGAAGATTCTGAGCAGCTCCAAGCATCTTGATAAGTCGTATGCATACACGTTTCTACAACCCTGGCTTGGCACTGGTCTGCTGACAAGGTACTGAAAATGTATCCGATAACTCCTGCTCAGTCAGACACTCTCATACAGCAGTTAGTGAACTCAATGTAATGTCAGTGATCTTTTAGTTTAGTGACACAGAAAGTTGGTACCTCCCTCACCAATGATTACTTAGGGGAATATTTATTTGTATTCAAACTTTTTCTCACCAGAACCACAGCTAAAGTAGCACTGCTGAAATTATTATTATTATTATTATTATTATTATTATTATTATTATTATATACAACACGATTACATTTGTATAGCGCCTTTCACATCGGAAAAGCACTCAGATGCTATTACAGTTGCCATTCATTATTTTATATCATCATATGTTGCTTTTTTTTAGATCAAAGCAAAGTGTTATAAAATTCTGTAGTGTTAATGAAAACAAAATAAAAACAAAGAGATAGATTATCAATTATATTGTTTTGCATAGTCATTCCAACATGGAATGCCTTACAAAATTGCTGGTTAAAGCAGAATCTGTAATTGTGTTTTTTAAAAGAGAATTATAATAATAATAATTATAGTCTTTGCATTTTATATAGTACCTTTTGCATCTGGAGGATGTCTCAAAGGGCTTCACAGGATTAACTGTGAAGTATACTGACTGTGTATTTGTAGGAAAGCACAGCAGCCAATTTGCACATAGTATTCTCCCACAAACAGTCATCAAGTCTCTTTGACCGTGCCTTCAGCTCCCCTCTCGACTCTCTACCCCCTCCTCGCTCCCTCCCTTCCCTCCCCTCACCCTGACCATTTCCCCTCTGCTCGGGTCCTGACCCAACTGTACAGCGCCTTGGGACGTCCTCCCGACGTGAACGGCGCTCTATAAATGGAATCTTGTTGTTGAAGTGAATGATTAACTTTATCTGGAAGATTGTCACTCGGATACCCTTTAGGCAAATAATTGAAAACAAAATGTATTAAGGGTAGTGGAATTAAATGGATCTCTTTCAGAGGCCAAATAGGTAAAAGGTAAATTTTCATGATTATGTTTTATTGTGCCTCAAGTTTAGAAAGTAGTGGGTTGAAAGTCCAGTTTGTCTAGTTTGTATGGCAGGTTGCTAGGTTATGGATATGTTGAAATGGCACACTAGCTTTCAAGTATTGTGGCTATTGTGTTTAATATTATTTTCAATAACATAGCATCCTGTGTTTTATTGCCCACCACTGCCCCCTCCCCATTTTATGCAGAAATGAATCTCTATGATCTGCATCCTGTATACATTCTTTTGTAAAATGAAGAGATAAACAACATGATTTTTAAATTTGATTGAACTGCAAGAGGTTTCACATACCTCTGAATTACGTTGAATACTGTTGATTTACATAGACTGTTACAGCATGGGAAAAGGCCATTCGGCCCAACTAATCCATGCCAATGTTTACACTCCACTTGAATCTCCATCCGTCCTAATCCCCTGTCCTGTACCTCTATATTCCCTTCTCCCTCATGTATGCATCACATTTCCTTTTAAATATGTTGATGCTTTCTGTAAGTAGCACAGTTTCCAGTAGTGAGTTCCATATTCTCCCCACCCTCTGTATAAAGAGGTACCTGAAAATCTGCTTTAGATGTGCTGCACCCTTGATCTGGATTTATCAACAAGTGAAAATGTGTCAGTGTGGTAACATAATGTTCTTCACTCAGCTTTAGAATAAGAACAGCTAATTCAGGCAACCAACTGGTCCCATCATTTACAACAACAAACAACAGCTTGCATTTATATGGTGCCCTTCACAGCAAGGTGTTATCTCAGAATATTGGTTGATTACCCCACTCCCCCCCCCCCCCCCCGACCCACCACCCTAAAGATACACAAACCAAGGAGGTGATAAAGGCAGATTGCAAATTCAAGAGGGAATTATTAGCTATTTCATAAAGAATTTAATTGAAGGGTAGAGAAGATTTGTTGCTTTTAAAATTGTATTGATAGTTTACTATAGGACAGGTTACATTAAGCACTACCTTTACCCATTACACCATTAGTTGCACCTGACTGCTGAGAATTTTAAAGTTGAGTTGAACCAAAATGAGTTGACAAAACTGGTGTTAAATTGCCACAGTTAAGAGTTTCAGTGGTGCCTAGCATCAGACCCAATTATTTTGAAGGAGTTGGAGGAATGCTGACCAAATATTAACTGAGCCGTCAACAGGGGATGAATTTCTGATGAATTGATAAATCACCGGAATAAATTATCATATTACTTGTACTAATTACCCCATTTTAAGATGCTTCACAGTTGTCGAACAGAATACAATGTATTTTGTGAGAAAGATGATTACTTTATTGTGACGACCCATGTTGGTATACTGTATAATTATGCATGCCTGAATAAACATTGCCTTCATCTTTGTTTTATAGTACTGGCGATAAATGGCGTAGGAGGAGAAAAATGCTCACCCCAGCATTTCACTTTTCCATTTTGACGGAATTTCTGGAGGTCATGAATGAACAAACCAATATTTTGCTTGAAAAGCTGGAGGCGAAAGCTGGAAAGGGAGTCTTTAACTGTTTCAATAAAATCACACTCTGTGCCTTGGACATCATCTGTGGTCAGTATTCAGCAACAATTAATAATAATCCTTGCGTTTAGTGTAGATCCTTATCATGGCAGAAGGACATCTCAAAGCAATTCACATGAATTACTGTGAAATGGAGTGACTGTATTTATAGGCAAATGCAGCAGCACAATTGCGCACAACAATGTCCCACAAAAAACTATGAAATGAGTGACCAATTTTATTTGGGAGATTGTTGGCCAGGACACCAAGAAAAACTCACTTCTCTTTTTCTGCCTTCCCCACTTCCGCAACATCGCCCAGCTCCATCACTATCTCAAACTGCAGGCCGCCAAGACCTTCATACACACATTCATAACATACAGGCTCAACTATGCAAACTCCCTGCTTGTCAGCCTCCCCAACTCCTCCCTCCATAGGCTGCAGATCATCCAGAACACTGCAGCCCTTGTCCTCTCCTGCACCAGGCTCTGTGACCCATTTTCGCCTGACTCCATTAGCTTCCCATCACACAGAGGATACAGTTCAAGATCCTGGTCCTCACCTTCAAAGCCCTCTATGGCCTTGCTCCCCCCTACCTCTGCAGGTTTCTAATCCCCGACCAATCTGCCTACTCCTTCCGCTCAATGTCCCCTCTGCCTCCACCATCTGGAACTCCATCCCGCAGTCCCACCGCCTCGCTCCCTCCCATGCCTCCTTCAAGACCCATCTCAAGACTCTCCTCTTCAACCATGCCTTTGGTCACCCTCCTTCCACTCCCTGCACTCCCAATCCTGACCCCTAGCTCGGGTCCGAAACATTGATTGACCTGCGCCTTGGGACGTCCTCCCAACGTGAAAGGAGCTATACAAATGTAATGTTATTGTTGTTGGCCAGGACGCCAAGAGAAAACCCCTTCTCTTTTTCGAATAGAGCAATGGGAACTTTAACTTTAAAGATGGTTTAATGTCTCATCTGAGATGTCTAGAAGACGTGAAAAGCGCTATATCAAATACAAGGATTATTATCTAAAGGACGGCACCTCTGAAATTGCAGCAAACCCCTAGTCCCGTATTGGAGTGTCTGGAGTAAATGACTGGAGTTTGAAGGTACAATCTGGGCTGAAACTCTAATTCAGCGCTGAAAGAGTGCTGCATTGTTTGAGGTGCCATTCTTTGGGTGTCCCTCAGGACATTAGATAACGTGACTAAAGACCACCCCCACTTGGGCTGTGGTGGACTTCCCACAGAGCAGCAAAGCCTCCCTCTCCCACAGGCTCCACAAAATCCTCAAGCACTTTTCTCAAATAGAAATAATGGATTTGACAGACTGAGGGAATTGTCCTGTTGACTTTTCAGTCTTTCAACATCACAGATTATTTGCTAAATGATTAGAGAGGTCTCTTCCGTTCCTGAGCTGGTGAGTAGGGATTTGGTCTTTTCATACAAGGTCTTTATTTTGTGTGGTTTGTTTCAGAAACTGCCATGGGCAAGAAAATCCATGCTCAGGAAAACAGTGAATCTGAATACATTCAGGCAATCTACAGGTAAATGTATTGTCTTCCTTATATTTATATAAGAATCATTGCTTTATTGCACACTGTGTAACCCAGAGAAGGGTGTAATACAATACAATACAGTAATACAATTGAAATGTTTATAGCATCTTTTATGTCGGGAGGATGTCTCAAAGTGCTTTACACAGCTGGCTGGGCACCTGAGCCAGAGTGGGGGGAGCAGAAAGGGGTTGTGGGAAGATGATTCAATGAGCCTTCAAAGAGATAAGCCATGAAGCAGACTTTGAAAATGGGAAAGGAAGGGAGTAAATTAGTGGGACTCTGGGATGGAATTCCAGAGATTGGGGTCAGAATGGCTGAAAGCTCGCCACTGATGATGGGACAGTTAGGTAGGAGGAATGAAGCAGCGGGTTGGTATGCTAGTTAAGGACTTTATTTTCTATCCAATGGCAATACTTAATTCACACTTGGTAACAGTTTGCCTGAGCCAAGTGGACCCTTGTTAAAATCTTTGGGAAAATAATTCATGCTGCATAATATGTGTGATCAAACAAGCAGCCTGATCATAAGTGCTACATTGGTTTTATTGAAGGTTAATTGACTGAAGTGAGTACCACAAGACTCTTGTGCTTTGTTTAAAAGTAAGTTGCTTAGTGAAATTGCATGCATAACTCTTAGACTAGATTGATTAAAGTATGCCATTGGATGCTTGTTTTTCTCAAAACCAGAAAGCCTTTAATTTTATATTTTATGAAAGCTTTCTTTTACATTATGACATTTATCAAGCTAATATTGGAGAACCCACACCAATATGAGATACAGAAAAAGCATTGTGCAATGTGGGAGAGAACAAAACAGTAAGTGATGAATGAGGTGCAGATGGAGAAGTTGTGTAAAAACGCTGAGGAATATAATTTAAGAGAAGGGTTAAGGAGAGTGAGAAACAACAAGAAAAATTGGCAGAAAAGAAAATAAAGTATTTCAAATGTACACAATACTGATCAGAATGATATGACATTGACCAGTCAGTGAGAGGACAACATACCATACCAGAAAAGCTAGCTGAAATGTGCCCTGAAACGTTGTGATGTTTCCAACTTTAGTCACTTGGTGGTGCTGTAGCAACCAGCAGTGTTCAGAGCGCCACATGGTGGTGCAATATCCCTGATATTGCTGTATCTCATTGTCACTAGCCCTGATGCTTACTTAGCAGCAACAATCATCAGGTGGAAGCAATAACACTTTTTTTTAAGGAAAATTCCTTCTTCCTTTCGTCCATGCTCCAAAATTGCTGCCCTTCTTCATTCTATCTTTCCCCGGCATTCTCTTCCGCATACAATCTGGAGTCATTTAAAACCAAGATTGGTGTCACTTAAACTGTAACATCTTAATTTACCTACACCTTTTTTCAATCTTGGTGAGGTTATTTTTTTTAAACCCTAATTTCTGTTTGTAACAATTATACATTAGGGGGAAACACTGACTTCTGCAGACCTGTCTAACAGCTCCTTCAAATTTGCCGATCTATCATTTCTAAGATATGGGGGAATGTCGTTGTGCTTTGACTATGACTCCAGGCAAAGATCACTCTGTTTTTAAAAAGTAGTAAACAATTGATAATATGAACCTTCTGGGGAATGTAATTAGACATCCTATTATATGAAGCTAATTTTTTTTCTTCATCTAGGATGAGTGATTTAATTCAACGCAGACAAAAGATGCCCTGGTTTTGGCTGGATTTTGTGTACAATACATTTGGAGAAGGAAAGGAGCATAACCATAATCTGAGAATCCTGCATTCCTTCACAGAAAAGGTTGGAACCACCGCTTAAACTTTCATTTATTTTCTTCCTTTGCTCATAACAGAATCAATAGAGTTAGTTTAGCGATCCAGTTGACAATTAGTGCACTGAATAGACGTGGAGATGCAGTTCCTGGAACCCATTCGCACACCATTTTCAATTCTGAAATCTATGAACATAGGCACTGCCTCTCTGTCTCTCAGAAGTTCAAGTTTTAAAAAAAGCTGAGAAAGTTGAGTCCTGAGTTTCTGCTAAATCTTTGATTCTCATTGTTAGGTGATCGCTGAGAGGGTTCGTGAAATGGAGACTCATGTGGAATCCAACCATTCGGGTTTCGATTTAGACTCCAATTCAAAGAGCAAAAAGAAGCGTAAGGCCTTTCTTGACTTGATTCTCAGTGTGACTGACGAAAATGGGAAGAAGCTGAGCCATCAGGATATCAGGGAAGAAGTGGACACAATTATGTTTGAGGTAACATATCCTCTTGTTCAAAGAAATGCCATGCTTTCTGTTTGATCAGACACTCTTCAAAGTTAGCTCTTAGTACCTTTAGTTCTATACTTTCTCACATCTTGGAAGCTGCTGTTAACTCTCACAGTATCCAATACCTTAAAAGTTATGGCCTAATCCCTTATCTCCATATAGTTATACACTGCTAAAACTTGAACAATGATGGGATTCATTTGTCTTTATCTTGGAGATCCTTCCTCGAGGCTTAGTCTGTTCCTTTTCACTATCTATATGCTCCTACAGGGTGATACCATCCCCAGGTATGGGGTCTATTTCTACATATATGCATTTGATTCCCAAATCTATATCTCTGCCTCTACTGTTGATTCCAGGACCCAATACTGTCTGACTGTCAGACATTAAGTCCTGGATGAGCTCTAATTTTCTTCAATTGAATCTAGACAAGACAGAGCCTCTCCTCCTCAACTCCATTTAGCAGCATCCCACTTTAGGCGCTGACTGCATCGGTCTGTGTTAATGTTTACTCCATCCCACGGAACCGGTGCATAACCTTGTTGTCATGTTTGGGCCCAACTGTTCTTCCAGCTTGGGCTCTCACTGCTCTCATCCAAGGTTTCATGACATCCAGGTACAATTATTCCAACACCTTTCTCGTTGGACTCCCCAACTCCTTCCTACACAAGCTAAAGACAATGCAGAACCCAGCAGTCCATGTCCTCTCCCACAATGGGCTCTGCTCTGCTCCACTGGCTTCCCATCCCCCAGCAGATCAAACTCCAGATCTGAATCCTCAAGTTCAAATCCCTGCATTGCCTCACCACACCTTGCCTCATGATCCCAAATGTTGGCGAAGGACATGTTGTGGCCAGCATTTTTTGACCTTTGTCTCAATTTTCAAACCTTTTCTGACTTGAGCAACAAATCAAATGCAAAACATCAGTTGAGATAGAATGTTTGGTTTGTGAATGGCACATTTTCAGCCCTCTGATAGTTGTTCTACATGTGAGTTGAGACATCATCTTGCACAGTGCTTATGGCAACCACCCCTACTGTGTATTTGTTATGCTGGTAGTTCTAAATTAATAATACTCTGGCAGAAGATTTATATGTTCATACAATTGGTTTTTTTTCTCTTTTTGTTCAGGGTCATGATACAACAGCTGCTGCCTTAAACTGGACTCTCCACCTCTTAGGATCTCATCCTAATGTTCTGAAGAAGGTACACAAAGAGCTGGATGATGTATTTGGTAAGGTCAGACTCACTGGGGTGATTACTATTTATGGACTTTAGAGTACAAATTTCAGTCAGTCTTATGTGTAGCACCTTTGCCGAAATGTGACTATAATAATGAAATCCTATTAGTGCCCAATGTAAGTTTGTTCTTTTCCTAATATTATTTACCCTGGGGATGTGAGTTAGCAATGAATTTAGAAATCAGAAAAGAGTGCAATATTCTCATATTTTGATTCCCTTGTTTCATTGAGCAAATAATTCTTTCAGATAAACCCACCAATACAGTACTTTGTTTGGATTCATTTTGCAATTGTGTTTGATTTAATTAAGCTTTTTCATCTAAATAATATACATTAGTAATACATTTCAGTAAAAGCTTAGATTTAAGTGTAATAAACAGCTTGTACATGTTTTTATCAAATGTCTTTGTAAGATTGATTTGTCCTATAATTTACATCATAGTAATTTAGATTTGATTGTGTTCTCCATCAGGTAATTCTGATCGTGCTGTTACAATGGAGGATCTAAAAAATCTACACTTTCTTCAGTGTGTTATCAAGGAATCTCTGCGCCTGTTCCCCTCTGTCCCATTTTTTGCGCGTACTCTATGTGAGGATTGCTATATCAGTAAGTTTCTTTGTTTGTTTGATCACATGTGGAAAGCACTGGCCAAGCTTGAGAATTTGGGGTATTAGGGAGGGGGTTTGGGAGATTATCAAATGCAACGGTCAAAGAGACAAGGGATGTGAGAGTTTTGAAAACTGAGAGAAGGCACAAAGCAAAGGGATTTTAATAATACTTTCAACAAAACAACAAATTACATTTGTATAGTGCCTTTCACTTCAGGAGGATGTCTCAAATTGCTCCACAACATGTTACTATAAATTATCAGGCTGTGTCAGTTGTGTCAGCCTGGCTCAGTTGGTGGCACTTCTGTATGAGTCAGAAGATTGTAGATTCAAGCTCCTCGTTGAAACTTTGAACTAATATTGTCTAATTTTACCCTATATTCTCATGCTGGGGGTGTGCTACATCGCTGGAGGTGCCATTGGTTCAATTAGATGTTTGTTTTATCTGGGGGATTTGTTGACCAGTACACCGGGAGAAACTCGCTTCTCTTTTTGAATAGTATCATGGGATCTTTAATGTCCATCTGAACAGGCAGACATTAAAGTTTAACATCTCATCCACCTCCAACATTGCAGCACACTCATGCATTGTATTGGAGTGTCAGCTTATACTACATGAATTCCAAATTCTGTATGAAGTTAAGATATTTTCAACAGGACTCCTGTTGCTAACCGTGTTGTAGTGGTCTGTATAAAGTGATTATAAAAATACAGTCACTACAACAACAACAAATTACATTTGTATAAAGCTTTTCACGTCAGGAAAATGTCCCAAGGCGCTTTACAATAAGCCTTGTGAAACGATTTGAGACTTCCTCCCAACAAAAAGGTGCTATATCAAATGCAAGGATTATTGTTATTATAATTTCTAATTTTATAAGTTATTAAAGGCATGCTATAATTTTTAGTTTCTTTATAATTTTCTTCCACAAGCTGATGTCATCAATAATGCATTGTTTAACACACTACTTTTACCTTACAGGAGGCTTTAAGGTTCCCAAAGGAGTCAATGCTATTATTGTTCCTTATGTCCTACACCGAGATCCTACATATTTTCCAGAACCAGAGGAATTCAAGCCTGAGCGATTTTTACTTGAGAATTCAAGTAAACTAAATCCATATGCATTTATTCCATTTTCTGCTGGCATTCGAAACTGCATAGGTATGTACTGCATTCAATATAGATAACACAACCAGTGCTGCACAGCGCATGTAATTTGCATTTTTTCAGTGATTTATCTTGAAATCTCAGCTCTATGGCTCAGTGATAATCAAGTAAGCAATTTAAATGTTAAGCATCCATCAGATAAGACTTTTATCTTGTAAAAATATTTCTGTTGTCAAAGTTCTTGAGCAAATAATGCAAACGTATTAAATGTTGCAAAGAATATGTGAGGGAAAATTCCACTTGGATCTAGATTTACTCTGTTTATGTAGCATTTTCGAGTGTCCACAATGTTGCAAATTCTTAAATATGACCGTAATTTTGAAATCTGTTTCTTTTAAGTCTTTTAAGTTAAGATTGATTACAACAACTTGCCAAATTCTGGACACTTTAAAATGTTACTTAAATAGTGTAAATCTAGACCCAGGTCGAATTTTAGCCCCCATTAGCTTTTAAAAATTCCTTACACGGATATCCTCTTTTAAGTATTTTCCACTCTTTTTAAAGCGGTCAAAATGATTATAAAAAGAAAAGATAATTATCAAGAATTGTATGTGTGGTACTTGGTGAACTACAGAGACCACAAATGTTCCAGGTTCAATCCCTGGTTTGTGCTGATCTCAGCTGTCGGAGTGGAGAGATGTAAAATTGATCTCTAATGCCACTGATCTTGGAAAGGAAAAAAATACAGCCAGAGTTCCAGTATCCTAGGCCTATTACACTCCCATAGTTTAGGGGGGAAAAAAGGTCCTAAAAAAAAGTAACAGCAGAAAAACGGCTTTCAAATTCAAACTGAATTTAATAATTTTCCACAATGCTGCACAATCTTGAATCATAAGATAATCATCTTAAGCTTACTACCATGAAGTATTTTGCCCACTGCAAGGTTTTAAATAATAATAATAATAATAATAATCCTTGCACTTGATATAGTATGTCTTTATGCCCACTTTATCTAGAAATTCTTCATCATGACAGTGGGAGAAACTCTTTTCCCTTTTTCACATAAGGTCCGTGACACAAGGTTGGTTGGATAAAGAAGGCCGATCTCAGAACATCCACCCTACTCTCCTCCTATCACACTGTCAAGCTATTTTTTAAATGAGTCCAGTGTCCTGGCCTTAACCATCCTTCCTGGCAGCTTGTTCCAATCATTAATTATTCTCTGACAAGTAATTAATCATTAATTAATGAAAAACTTCCTGGTGCCTGTCTTGAAATTTCCTTTTGCAACTCTAAACCCATGTTCTCTTGTTCTACTGTCTTGGTGCACCTAAAGTATTGTTCTCTGAGATGCTCCCCCTCGTGAAGGGTGCTATATAAATGCAAGTTATTCATATCTTGAAATAATAAGTCTATTTAACTTTCACTAAATGAAGGTCAACGGTTTGCGATAATGGAGGAGAAGGTAATCTTATCCACTATTCTCCGTCGATTTCATGTGGAGGCGAAGCAGTGCCGAGAGGACTTAGTGCTTATGGGAGAACTCATCCTGCGACCACAAAATGGCATCTGGATAGAACTTCACAGAAGAAAATAAACCCTTGATTGGGAGAAGACTTGGCCAGGTTCTATATGTATTTTACCAATCGTGCTGTTGAAATGATGCAGCAAACATCTAAGAAGTTTTTCATCACATCCTGATATATGATTTTGTGCTGTAGCTTTTTTATGATTGCTAAATGTCATTACAATTTTAATTACTGTGAGCTGTTAACCAATCTTATATTTTTCAACTACATTTTCTTCAGTATTTCTGAACATTACGTTTATCAGCCGCTAATCAATGGTTTGGTGATTGGCTACTCACACAGTTTTAGTTTGGAGTTGCTATTGTGTGGGCAATCATTAGTAGAAAAAGTTTAATTAAACCAAAACACAGCAATGTTCCAATTCTGTTTTGCCATCAAGCGTTTTCTATGCTGGACACAAGCTCCAATATTTGATGCTTTTGTAGTTTGAAAGCAATTGCAATCAAATCAAGTATTTGTTTGAGAATAGAAATGAAAAATGTGCATTAGTTACATTGGGGGCAACTCATACAAATTATGCATTTGAATCAGATTTAGGTCATTGAGTTATGCTTGTAACAAATAGAACACAGTTTGTCATGTAAATGTTCATGAAGACCCTTCAACAGAGAACTTAAATTGGCCTGTTTTAGGAATGAAGGCATACATTCACTCAAATAACCTTTTTACCTTTGAGATTTAGGCTCAAATTGAGCTCATTCTGGTTGGGATAGAAAGACTCCTGTTGTCTGTGAGGTTCCTAATTGAAATGGGATTTAACAATGTAATTTCTGTTCTGTTGACAAAGGGCTGACTGCATACTGATTTACCAATTTTGATTTTGAGAGGGCATAAGGGCAGCTGTGTCACAAATGGAAAAAGTCATACTGATGCAAAATGGATTGTATTCTGGATTGGAATGGAAGCACATTATGAGGAACTTTACTCTGCTTGGGTTTACACTTTACTTCATCTGGAAATGGTTGATACTGATCCTTGGTGCCCAGAAGGCAGAAACACGTTTTATGCAACAACCCATCTCTAGAAGAAGTTGATGCTTATTGTATCTGTCTATATAAATGTAATGTTTACAGTGTCTGAAAACAAAGACCATTATCAGGTAATAAAATGCAAGTAATATAGTACTTTTATCATGTCATTGAAACATCACAAAATATCTCAGAAAATTTATTGTAAAATGCAATGACTACATTTTATAGGTGACAGTAACAACCAATCTGCATCCAGCAATGGCATACAAATAAGCATGAAATAAATTATCAATTTTATTTAGGGGCTTGTCGGCCACAAAACTGGGAGGGATGCCTTTCTATTTAATTAGTGCCATAAAATCTTGAACATCCGTGTCAGCCTGCCCTAGTTAGACTGTGTGTTTAAACTCCAATAATTTAATAATAATAAATAATCCTTGCATTCGATATAGCGCATTATCACTTCTTCGAGACGTTCACAAAGCGCTTCATAGAATATACTGTCAAGTCAATTGACTATAATATGTGGGTGAAACACGGCAGCCAATTGCGCACAGCAGTGTCCCACAAACAGTCGTGGATTGAAAATGACCAATTTATTATTGTTTGCTTTTAAACGGATTATTACCCCTGGAAAAATGATCCGCCCATTGACTAACAACCAGAATCCTACTTCTGCTGGGTAAACAGGAGTGTGGAGTAAGGAAACTTACCCAACGTTTTGCCCTGACCAGGAATCAAACCCAGGTCCTCTCACTTGCAAGGCATGTGCTCTAACCATTAAGTTACAGAACTCCACGGGACTCCATTTACAGGTCCTGCCTTGCCCTGATTTCAGCCACATTCAGATTCGAATGTGGCAACTTATCAAAGCACTTCTGGAAAATCATATACACCATACCCATTTTTTCCTTATCTACTTTACTCATTCAATAAATGGATTGATAAAGCCATCCCTTCATGAACCCTATGAGGCTTCTTTTAATGATACTCTCCTCGATATGTTTAGTTATATCAGACTTATTAGAGAATTCAATAGCTTTCCCATCCACCCCAGGAAAACGAAATCCAGGTGTCATAGGTCATTGGCTGTTAAAATATCATAAGCCATATATTATTTGCTTTTGAAAAACTACAAATGATATAATATTTGCTTTGAGAACAATTTGTCTATTAAATTATTCTTGTTGAGTTAATCAATACTTCATATATTTCATATAACGATGCATCTATGTGTATTCAGGCATACCCACTTGGGCTCCTGCATTTTTTTAATTATTAAAATTATTCTTTAAAATTAACTTTGACTGTAGAAGAAAAGAATGGATTCATTTTAATCACATTTTGTAATAGTAAAGCTATAAAACTTGCATGCTATCTCTGAAATGGTGTAGCACACTGGACCAAAGATTAGGGCATTGCTTAAATGCAGGAATAATAAATAATGCAATTTTGACAAACGCTTCATAACATTGAAAAAAAAATCCTTGGTTGAAGAAACTTTTCATACGAAAGCTTTGTGTTTCAAAAAGTAATGACTTTCAAATTTCAAAATGAATACTGTACTCCATAAGCAAGAGTGAGGTGTCACTGCAAGACCTGCTTATAAGGGTGGTTGGTACGAGCTAATTTGAGTGTGATAGAGAGGTTGGAATCAATCATAATCTAGGACTGTCCACACCTTTGATTGAGATCTGAAATAACATTTTGCTTCACAATGTCTATTTCTAAAACTCAACACATGAAATATTTTCAGTTCAGTACACATTACTAATCTAATGCATTCCAATCATCCCTGGGAACATCTCATATTTTATCCAATACAGTTTATGCTGGATAAAATGTTAGCATGAATGATTTCTAAGTACAAATACTCTAAGGATGGGTTATTCAAGAAGCTGAGAGAATCAGTTGAATACAACAAGCTGATTTATTTGTAGACACAGAATTGAAAAAAACTGAAAAAAAACCAATATAACAATTGACTCCTGCCTTTTGCAAACAGTCTCTCAATTTTCAAATATGATCTATATAGAATCAGGAGGCCGTCTCAAAACACTTGACACTGTGGGATGGGCACCTGGGTTGGGGGTGGGAGCCGAAGTGGGTGGGAAGGTGAAGGATGACCAAAGCATGGTGGAAGAGATACATCTTGAGAAGGACTTTGAACGAGCGAGAAGGAAGTAGAGGAAGGAAGTCCATTTGGGATGGAGTTTCAGAGAGTGGGAGTAGAATAATCGAAAGCCCCACCAACAATGATGGGGATGATAGGGCAGGAAGGCATGAAGCAGGGTTGCTGAGCAAACGGTGGGCCTGGGGCTGGGTCGGAGTGGTTGAAGGAGGTCGCAGAGTTAGGCTAGGGCAAGGGCATGGAGGGATTTGATCATGAGATCTAAGATTTTGAACTTGAAGATGAAAACAAAATAAACATTGAAATCTACAGCCTGTTGGTTGTGTGAAGAGCTTTAAGACATCCTCCCAATATGAAAGTTGCTAAATAAATTTAAATTGATGTTATTATCCCCCGCCTCGCCTGCCCCACCATTGGCGGACAGGCCTTCAGCCACTCTCACCCCACCTTCTGGAACTCCATCCCGCAGTCCCTCCGCCTCGCCCCCTCCTTTACCTCCTTCAAGACCTGTCTCAAGACCCTCCTTCGATTCCCTCCACCCTCACCAATCCCGAGCTCCAGCACGGGTCTGAAACATTGATTGTCCAGAATCTTGGGACATGAAAAGCGCTATACAAATGTAATTTTCCTGTTGCTGTTGTTGTTGTTGTTGTTAGTGACCCATAGTTCTCTCGGCTCCAAAGAATTTGCAATCAACACAAGTGAACATTTCTACTTTACCATCATCGTGTTCTTGCACTTTGTATCTCTTGCTGGAATATGAAAATCTTTTCATATGAAGCCAAAAGGATACAAAGCCTACATTTTACAAAATAAGAATGGTCATTTCAGGGTGAGGGTGGTTCTCAGAACAAACTAGATACTCAGTGATGGACATCCCCTCCTGGTGTGGAGTAAAGAAATATTTATCCTGCAATATTTTTCCCAATGCTATGTCCAGTACAAATTGGCATTAAGCTGCAAAAAAAAAGATTTTCTTGATTAGGTGTGACAATCAGGACAAAGGTGTGATGTATTCAGGACATGTGAAATCTTTTTTTTTGGTCAGCCATGTGTCTGGCACATGGGGAAACCCATCACTATGCTTAAGAGTATCCAAAGCAAGATGAGATTTCCATGCATCGCACCTACACATGGAAATCCCAGAGATACATTGTTGGAATGGAATGTGCACTCTTTCTCTGGAGGGACACATCTTGCTTACCTAATTCCGGAAAGTAATAAGGGTTGGCAAGAGCCAAGGCTTGGGGACCCAGAGTGTGCACTGAGGTACTGCTGGGATCTGACCAGCTAAAACTGCATAGCTTGCCAATGATATTGCTGTCTGGCAAGCTTTCTCGCTGCTTGTCCAGCTCGGACTACACTACCCTTTTGAGCTTTGGCTTGCAGGATTAACAGGAGCTGAGCGGGATGACTGTTTTCACCTTCTAGGTCCTGTCGATGAGCCAGACTGGTTGTGCTGTCATCCACAGTGCCCTGGAGTAAGCGCTTTGGGATGCTACCCCCATGTGAAGAGTGCTATATAAATGCAAGTTGTTGCTGTTGAATATTGTGGACCCACCTGGCTCAGGAGTCGGACTACCAAGGCTGACACAGAAAGCTGGCTCGATTCTAACATTGCCTTGTCAGGCATGTCATCTTGGAGTCAATTCAGCTCCAAGGAGACCCCGCTTATCTCCCCTCCAAGGAGGATAGCCATTAAAATGTTGTAAAGACAAAATATTTAACATTATTTACTTTCCTGATTTGGAATTTCTTTCCTCTGTAGTACAGTTGTTCATCAGCCAAGGGGCAGCATCAGACTGCAATTTGATGATTCATATTAAATCAGTAAAGGTCTCATTTTCCATTTCGTTATCACAATGATCCAAAAGAAATTTGTTTTCTACTCCACAGTGGCACCACTTATACAATTAATTTGCATTCCACTCAATTATAAGTCTATTTAATTTAAACAAACATTCATAATTGCCTGTGAAATATTGCTGAAGTGTTGAGAATATATACTCAAGACAAGTATGTTGAGGATTTCAGTACACTACATAAGGTGAATATTACAAGTACAACAACTTGTATTGATATAGCAACCTTCACGCGGGGCAGCTTGTCTAAATATTAGGATTTTTTTTTACCCAGTTAGTATTTCGTACATTTTGTTATTATTTTGCCATGTATAGGCTACATGTTGAATATTTACCGCATCTGCTCTTGATCACCTGCTATCACTTGTTATGACACTTTGGATGGAAACATCACAGTGGCATCTAAATGACCTGCTGTTGAAATCTGCGTCATTTTTGCACAGTGGCAAGTGCGATTTCATTATACTGTTCAATTTCCCATCTGCTATCTCACAAGAAGTCTGATGGACACTATTAGCTCAGTCAGAGGCCTGATTAATAATCCAATCTCAACAATGATTTTTTCCCAAACCTTTTTGAATTTGTGTAGCAACTCTTGCTGTTTTTCTGTATTTGTCAGCATCAGTTTGACATGGATAGTATCCCACATTTTAATCAGGCCAATCCAGATTGGATTCTGAATTGTAACCCTGCCAATCTGGAATGTGTTTGAAGTTTCTGGCATACCATTCCCTGATGCCCTAACCCTAGTATATCACCATGCAAACTTCCTTGTCCATCTGTTGTTGGATGGATCCATGGGGGTGATGTAAAAAGTAAGTCTCTGTAATATTGCACAAGTCGTTCTATGTAATACTGATAAAATGCTATTCTGTGTGTTCTACTGCCAGGATAATAAAGTTTTCAGTTTTGAAAGATCAAACGTTCCCTATACGTTCAATTCCTCAATTTGCTGCCTGAGAATCCTCTGGTTCCTCCTTAAAGTTGTATCCTCCATCTACAATGTGTGCAACAATATTGTTGAAATAATTCCTCACTTGACAACAGCTTATTAGCTTAGTGATAATTTTCGAACTTTCTGTTGCATCTTATCTAACTGTAAGTGCCAAAAGTACATGCAATAATATACATTTATATAGAACCTTTAACATTAAGAG